CCCACATAATTTTCCCCAGAAAAACTAGCAAATATATCTACATTTGAGAAATGTAAATGTTGGTAAAGATTAGGCATTTTTGCTTTAAAATGGTTGAAACAATAAACTGACTGGAATCAAAATACCCAACAGCTGTTTGATTTCCAACAGACGGACTATTCAATTAATCATCATAAATTCCTGAATTAGATTTTTTCTGATATATGTAAAACCATGCTGGAGCTACATGTACTGTTTGTTGTTTGGACATAGCATGTCTGATATCAGGGCACTGTACTTTGATTTATAAAGCTTGGATTCAGCAGGTTTACCGCACTTAATATGAATCAGAGCAGGTGATCTGTGTGCATTATTAAACTGGTCCTATCTGTCAGACATGAGAGCTAGTTTCATGTTCAGTAACTTTATTTTTATCTAACTGTGGTAATTTTTTAAATCTTTTCAGAATTTGAGAGCTAAACTATGTATAAAATTACACTGTAAGACACCAAGAATGTAGTTCTATATGATCAAACATGATCAAACACTATTAATGACTGAAACTGATGGATTCCGACTCCAGCACAAGCTGAACATGGCGGCCCGCTCAGGATAAACATTAGCTCCTTATGGCTATCATTATTCAACTAAATACCTGCAGCAAATACAAACAGATAAAGTGACCCAGATTAGCTAGCATACGTTGCCTTGAAATGTAACACTATTTGAAAGGTGTCCACTTTCAGAGGAACACAAACCACCTCAGTCCTCTGGCATGCAACAAGAGTCCTACTGGAGACCTGGAGGGTATAAAGTCCCGAAAGGCCTCTTAAAAAAAACACAAGTGGCCCGTGGCAGCCGCTGAGGCTCCAGGGTGTACCAGGACAGATAGCTCAGAAAATAATTGTGATTCTATAGTGGTGAAGAAAGTCGCCCAAACCCTAATGACATGCTGAAATGACACAGTAACACAGGTCACACACATACACACTGTATAGCTTTCAACAGGGGCTCATGGAAGAATGTATGACACTTCCCTGTGTGACTTCATTAGGATGAACCATCTCTTCCTGTGTGTAATTAGTGGGAGCTGTTTACCCAGGAAATTAAGCTGGTAGCCATTTATTATATGGAGTAAAGAAGCATAACACTGTTTAAAGTAAAGCAAATACATGCAATATGATAAGTGTGCATTAAAACTGAAAATGGACGAGTGCTCTTTTAATTGTAAATGAAGACTTTCTCTTTTGAAACATTAATATTGAACTTTTTGAAAACTTGTGTACTATGATATCCTATATGTACAATATAGAGATGGTTACTCTATGTGTAATTAAAAAAAAAAACCCAATAAACTAAATCTATGTAACCAGCAGAGTTACAGGGTTATAGAGCCCGATACTACTTCTCCATCTAGATAATTTTCCACTGACAATACTGGGATGCTGCTGGCGGATATTTGGAAAATCTCTTGATAAATTACATAAACTATCAATCATGGACATCCAGTGAGGTAATAAAATGCATGACCTAACAGTGTTATAAGCCTTGTAATTTATATGGACACAATTTAACAGATAAGGGCTTCAGCTAATAAACACTTGTGAATTAAGCAATCAGATAAAGTTTATGTAATTCTAATTACTTACTCTATAAAATGCCCAAAATAACATCAATGCAACAATACAAGTTGCCAGAGCCTTAACTGATGCCTTAAAATTGATAAGTCATGGCGGTGTCACCATACAGCAACTCAGAAATTAAACATTCGCACAAAAATACTAGAGCAAGAAATTCTTATCATATGTCGAGATGTAACCAACACGTCTTTAGTATCTTCATCAAACTGATCATCAGAATTGAAAACAGTGAGTTCTACATTGTGGATCAATTCATCATGTCAGCACTAAGGCCCACAACAAAGAGCACATGGACAGCTACACTTTAAGACTATAGCCTACTAAAATATCACCTATATTACACTATACTGTACAGCACTGTATTGTACTATACTAAAGGCCACTATACTACAATCTAATCTACTATGCTGTACATTTATTTGTCAACTATATATATGCAACAATAAGTCAAAATACTATTTGTTATCTGCTGTCACTGGAGAGATCAGACTTGCCATACTACACCACCTATATTACAACACACAGCACTCTACTATCCTATACTATACAACGAAAAAAATAATCTCAAATGAATTAGGAATATACTATACTGTACAACCTAATAGCAAAAGCTATTTGGCCTCTATACAGTAAATTATTTTATTCTTAATCATGCTACATACAGTCTACTATACCATACTACTATACTATGCTATATACTTTACACCACTGGCCATAACACTTAAGTATACTGCATTCTTGTACTATAGTATACTATATTAGTTTTAAGAGCAAACTTGGCCCAACAGCCAAACGCTAAGTTATCTCCATAAATCTTTGGATACTAAAGCCTATTAAACTATACTATACTAAATTATACTATATAACATTGTACTATACTGTACTATAGGCCACTATACCCAGAAATATGACATTTACAACAAACCTTACTGTAAATGTGCCACATTTTAACACCTATGTTTTATCTGCAGTCCCAGGACTGAAGTTTCCCCACACCAAAGGACACTATACGTTACGATACAATACCATATGATACTGTATTGTATTATACCATAATCAGTGCAAACATGGTCCAATAGCCAAAAGCTAAATGGTCTCAAGTACCTTTTACATGAAAGCCTACTAAACCATACTTTATATTACACAACATTATAGTCTACTATACTACACACCACAATACTACATTCTACACTACCATTCAACACATTTATTTACTAAAAACTCTTACTGTAAATACTTAAGTCAAAATGGTAGTTTTCACCTGTTGTCCCAGGTCACTCTACACAAAAGACCACTATAATATACTATTATAGTCTGAAGCAATCTAATTTACTCTAGTATTCTATGCTGTACTACATTATACCACCAGTATGTTAGTATTTAGAGCAAATGTGGTTCAGAGCCAAAAAGCTGGGCACTCTCCCTATATATTTATCTTTGTATACTAAAACAAAACTAAACTGTATTCTACATGACACTATTCAACACTGTTTAACTCTATACTATACTACAGGTCACTACACTCTACCACAATATATTCTGATTTATTCGACAGGTACACTTTTACACTGTACAATCGTAGTTTTCAGAGGAAACATGGCCTGATAGACAAAAGCTAAGCTGTTTCCCTACATCTTAGTAAACTAAAGCCGACTAAATTACTCTCTCTGTAACACTACACATTATACTCTAATTTACTAGATTAGACATGCATTTATTGAAGAAAAAAACTATACATATACCACAGTTCATCAAAATGCTATTTTCATCTGTAGTCCTATACTAATCTGTACTGTACTGTACTAAATCATAATCAGAGCAAACATGGTCCAGTAGCCAAAAGCTAAATGGTTTCAAGTATAAACGAAAGCCTACTAAATCATACTCTATATATTACAAAATACACATCTACTATACTACACACCACAATACTCAAATGCTATTTTCATCTGTTGTCCTTTACTGTACTGCACTGTACTGTACTGTACTGTACTGTACTGTACTGTACTACAGCTAAAAGTTAGGTGGTCTCTCTACATATCTGTATACTAAAGCCAACTAAATAAACTCACACTATAAATCTGTGATACTCCACTATGTTGTTACTATGTTAAACTATACTCTATCCCACTTACCTACCTTATTGAAAAGAATTACTGTAAATATGCCACAGTTAAACCAAAGTCTATTTTTTCATCTGTGGTCCTGTACTCTACATTATGCTTTACTATACTATACTAATTTTCAGAGTAAACAGTCCAGTAACCTAAAGATAGGCTAAGTGGTCTCTACATATTTTTTATCTTAAAGTAAACTAAATTATACTCTATACAACACTAGAAGCCACTATACTAAAGTACTTTATACATGTATTTCACAGGGCTCTTTCTCATATTTAGTACTATACTATACTATATTATCTCAAAGCATAAGCATGACCAAATAGCAAAAAGCTAGGTGGTCTCTCTACATATGTGTACACTAAAGCCAACCATATTATGCTCTCTATCTGGTCTAAATCTATACAATACTCTACTATGTTGTTACTATGTTAAACTATACTCTCTACTAATAGCCTACTCTACTACCTTATTGAGAAGAACTACTGTAAATATGCCACAGTTAAACCAAAGTCTGTTCTTAATCTGTGGTCCTGTACTCCACACTATACTACACTATACTATACTAATTGTCAGAGTAAACATGGCAAGTAACTTCTGTACTCCTTTACCATACCAGACCAGACCATACTATACCCTACCCTACCCTACCCTACCCTGCCCTACTATACCATACCATACTATAATATACTACATTAATACTAACTCACAGAGTAAGCATGGCCCAATAGCCAAAAGCTAAGTGGTCTCTATAAATCTATACAATACTCTACTATGTTGTTACTGTCTTAAACTATACTGTAGCCTACTGTACTACCTTATTGAGAAGAGTTACAGTAAACACAGCTAAACCAAAGTCTATTTTTAGTCTGTGGTCCTGTACTCCACACTATACTACACTATACTATACTGTACTGTACTAATTTTCAGAGTGAGTATGTCATGGCCCAGTAGCCACAAGCTAAGAGGTCTCTGTAAACCTGAGTGTTTTGGTCCATTTGCTGGTCTACATGATGTGTAATTGGCTCTAACCCCAAATATTAACAGTAAGAGGACAGCAGGCCCAGTGAGTCTACACGTCCATCTTCATCATTTGACATTGCCAGCCGCAGGGGGTAGTCTTCACAGCCAAGCCAACAGATGTGGCAAAAGGCCTCGCCAGAGTAGTGACATAATTTCTGGAAAGGCCAGTGCGTTTTGGTTTCTAATAATAAAACGGCTCCCTAGTCCAACAACAACAACAGAGAGGGACACAACCTACCGAGCAGCAGCAGCCGATGCGTCTGTTTGTACTCCCGTTTGAGCTCCTTCAGCGCCCTGTCAATATTCTTACTGACTTTCTTCGCCTCCTTCTCGGCCTCCTTCTCCTCCACCAGCAATTTGTCCCAGTTTTTCTGCTTTTGGGTGCTAGTCTTTTGCAGCAGCTGTAAGCGTCGGCCGCGGTCCTTCCCTGTCCCCTTACCGCTACCTCCGCCACCACCACCGCCTCCTCCTCCGCCACCTCCGTTTTGTATGAGCACACCGTCGGTGCCGGTGTCTCCACGGCGGTGCTCCCCGGCCGAGAGCCTGGCAGGGTCCCCGGGGCGCACCGGGCCGCCGCCGCCGCGTAGCGACGAAGTCTCCCCGCATCCCCCGGTGTCCTCCTGGCGAGCTCCCACGGCGCGGGTCGGTACGGCGGCGTCCGGAGGCTGGTCCGAGTCCGAGGTAGCGTTGGAGATAGACCCGCTCAGGTCCCCGAAGAGCCGGGGACGCAAACTGTAGCACAGCCCCATGTTGAAACCAATATTTGTCTGTTAATGTGATTTTTCATAAATTAAAATATCAAAAAAATCGCAGTTGCGCCACCAGCCCTAACGAGCCATCGTCACATTGAAGCTCCAGCGGTGCGATTTAAGTCCGAAATTGAGCCGAAAATGTGAATGAATTATGCTCCGACATTTGCTATATGTCATTTTGCATTTTCCCCAGTCAGCCTTCGCTTCGTAGTTAGTGGATCACCTGATCCTTTAGTGGACACTGCGGGTCCATCTTACCGTAAGTAACCAAAAGCACAACCTTGGAAAAAAACGCGACAATCCGCTGCGCAGACAGTCAACAATCTGACTGCACAGTTGTTAGGTGCAATGCACGGCACGTCATGTTACTACAGCATGGCCATTTCGAGAATGCTGGTCATGATTTTCATTCCTCACATTTCATGCCTGCATGCCTAAAGACACCTCCTGCACTGTAGATAGTGAACCTGCTCTTTATCATCAGACTAATGGCACACACATGCTCTCTCTTTATATAATACACATTCCTGATAAAATGTCAAGCTTTTGGAAAATGGAAAATATTCAGAATAATATTTAAACTTCACTTGATTTACATGCAGATACTTACAATAGTTAAGGCATTTATTGTCCTGCTTTAACTAGACTTTTCTTCATATCAGCCTTTTTGATTAGACTAATTATTCTTATCAGTGTGAGGGTTTCCAAATTCCCATCATCTGAGTGTTATTTATAAAATCTCTAAAAATACAGGACCTATTTTGAGCCACAAAGCAGCTCAAGTGTCCATGTAAATATTATGTGGACGAAATATCCGGTCTTCAAATTGGGGTCCTGGGATTTTTCAAGGGTCCTTGGGGTGATCTCAGGGAGCTCTGCAGGAAAATAAGGAATTCTTTCCTTTTGCAGTCCAAATAAAGTAAAACTCTGGGTCCTTTATTTAGTCTCTCAACAACTGTCTACTCACCTACACTGTGACAGTTGGTACAACAAAATTATGTTGTTGTTTTTAGATGGGGGCCACTGGAATGAAATAGTTAGGCCAACTAATCATGGTCCTTTGTGACATGCATGATCACTTTAGGGTCAGAGGTGGGTTTACCTGGGATACAGGGGCCACAGTCCCAATCAGGTGCAGGGTTGAAAATGAACCATTAGATGGAGCACTTGTGACATAATACAACATCTCAGGTGAGTTTACTTCAGGGAACTACTTCTGAAACTACATTCTTCTACATATGTTGGTACAGTCTATATGTTTTTATATGTATATTTGTGCCTCTCTCTCTCTCTACATATACAATTCATTTTATAGGCTTACGGTCTCTAAAGCTGAGATTGAAAGTTCATAATTTACCTTGGTACCACAGGGTCCATTTAGAAGTTGTTATTGAGCTTTTGATCCTATCACAATCTTCATCAGCATATAGGGTTTGAACAGATTTTCTTTTTATGACTTTTTTGTCCATGTCGGCCTAAAAGTTGAGAATCACTGTTCACTTTTGACCTACTAGATGTGAGTAAAGCTGTCAAATAATTGTAGTGTGGTACCTAAATATTTCCCTCTAGATGGTAGAAGTATAATGTGACATTAAAATAAAAGACTCAAGTAAAATACAAGTACCTCAAATTTGTACTTATTTTTCTTGCAAACGTAAAAGTAGATAGTTACTTTCCACCACTGACAATATTATAGGCATATCACAGTGTAATCTATCTAAGTGAACATTGGAGGTACTTGTACTTTACTTGAGTATTCCCAGTGGTGTAGTGGTAGTTAAAGTGGTGGCTGTACTACAAAGTAGATGGGTAGATTACAGAGGAGAAAGAGGGTATACTTTCCTATATATTCTAGTGGCTTTGTGGTGGGTTTACTGTAAAGGGTCAGAAAAATAGGTGGGTATGCCACATATACCTGCACATAGGCCTACCCTCCACTACACCATTGAATATTTCCATTTTATGTTGTTCTTTTTACTTCACTAGATTTATTGATCAACATTAGTTACTAGTTACTTTGCAGATTCAGATTATGAATACAAAATATAACTCAGATAATAAAATATTATGTCTAATTATGGATTAAGACAACCAGCAGTAGCCTACACATATGCTAATCCAGTGACATTATATATATTATTCTGCAATGGGTCATTCCGCATGATGAGTACTTTTACTTTTGGTACTTCAGAAGGTTATATTCTATACTTTGTTGTATTTGGAATAGCCTACTTTTACTAAAATAAGATTTTGAATGCAAAACGTTTTACTTGCAGAGTAATTTTAAAGTATGTTAGTACTTTTACCTAAGTTAAGGACCTAAATACTTTCTCCACCACTGAAAGTGCATAATTTTGTACATATTATTAATAGACAATGATTTTAATAGGCCACATTTTATTTTGTAGGTCTGCGTTGCCTAGGCGACAGGAAGCCGCCCTTGCAGACGGACAGAGCACCAGCATCTTCCACCATCAGCACCGACATATCTCATATGGTAGGTTTACTTTAAGTTACTGTAAATGTAAAGACGTTACAGTTGGTAAAAACTCTGTTAGATCGTATGGTTAAAAATTAAGTCTTAAAATCCGAATAATGTTAGCTTATATTGCTCTTCAGCTACTGTATTCACTTGTAGAAGTCTTGCTTGGTGTCTGCTACAAGCCAAATTAGCGGTGTGATAAAGTTTCCAGACATAGCGATGAAATGTTTTATTAGGTTAAAAGTGAATTTTAACATCAGCATTTTGAAGTTTGTGAAGTTCTGTCCAATATTAGCCAACATCAAAACCTTTTTTAAGGAAACTAGAGAGAAAAACGTCAAAATTGAAGTTCTGTATTCAGGTTAATGAGGTTATATAAGGCTAACTAAGTAGGCTACAGTACATTTTCTCAAGTGTTAAACGTCGGTATACTTTTACTTTACCTGAGTATTTCCATTTTCTGCTTCTTTATTCTTCCATTACATTTCAGAGGGAAATATTGTACTTCTTACTCCAATACATTCGTTTTAAAGTTTGTGTTATTTTGCAGATTCAGAATATTAAAACAAAATATAATCAAATACCCAGCAGTATAGAGTTAAAATTAGCTCCAACTTTGCCTGCTGCAACATTAAAGTGATGTACACATTATTGTATCAATAATTATAATCCAACAATATTTTGTAGATTATTCTGAAATAAGCCATTGTGCATAATGTTTTTTCTTTTTTACTTTTGATAGGCTTTTTTACATGTATTTGCACTTTGTAAAACTTTGAATGCAGACCTTCTACTTGTAACAAGGCATTTCTACACGGTAATACTACTTTTACTAAAAATATCTGAGTACTTCTCTCATCACTGAGTCTAACTAATGCATATTAATGGTTGGTAATGCAACAATTTCTGCTTCATAGAGGATAAGAAATAATTCTGATTATTGTTTGTCATTATTATTGTGTCACAGATGAAAACCTGGTATCATAAAGTGTAATAGCCAACTCACTAATGGTGCAAACTACAAGCTAACACATAAATGACCATTACTAGCATAAACCACCATTTTCTGAACAGACACACCGTAGGCAGTAACATGAAAGTGACTGTGTATTATGGAACATAAAACATCAAAATAAAAAGCAGACTATAAATTACTCAGTCCATCATGATGGGAAATGTGGGCGTTGCTACAATATATTAGGTACTAATGTTTTATTGATCAGTTATAAGCCATAATTAGGAACAACTTTTGGGTGGCCTGGTTGTTGAAAATCTAGCTGGCTGGTGTTTATCCACATGTAGCAGGACAGTTTTTTTGTTTTCTTTTGTGTTGTTATATTTTTTATTTTTTTATTTTTTGCATATGTAAGAAAACAATACAACTTAACAGATTAAAAGATAAAAAAGAATTGAGCCTGTGAGACAAAGAAACAGCGACAACAAATGGGTTTATGACCCAATAAATAAAAGACAGAAAAAAGTGACAATAATAAGATAATTCTAAAACATATTAGCACAACACAGACACAAAAACAGAAAAAAATATAACTTAAACTTCTATGAAGTGTCAAAATAAATACACCCTAATACAGAATCATGCATATGTGAATTGCTGCTATTGTGCATGGTTTACAAAGTCTAGAAAAGACACAAGGAGAGAGGAACTAATAATTAACTATCAACAAGCTTATAACCCCTGCTATAAAGTATACCTTATTATAAAGTGGTAGCCTACCGTCCTGACTAACAAGTGAACCCTTTCACCAGTTTGACCCTTCTAACCTAGTGTTATGTAAGTTGTAAATACACTGGCCCTAATTTGTTGAAGTCTGGTCACAGTGAACTCCCAGGTCCTGCCCGCTGGAAAATGTGGGTTAATTGGATGTAGAAGAAAAGCAGGACACAAGCATCATTGTTCTTTGGACAAAAGCATCCTCAGATAATATCATTTGCACCTCTTGCTCACTGCTGGCTCACCTGTATGTGATCAGTGTTAGACAAAGGCAGGTATAGCCCTCCGTTTCTGCACTCACTTTCATGAGTGCAGTTGTGGTTTGCAAGATCATAAATTCAACAAAACTTAAAAAAATGCGTCACCATGTGTCCCACTTTCATGTAGACACGATAATGTCAGACCACGTCTCCAGGTTCTCCTTTGAGCCTGTTGTCTGGCACATGTCAACTAATCACAAGTCAACTTTAATCCACTTCCCCTCACAGAGGATCGCCCTTCTTCTGTCCGCCGTCAAGGCTTAGCTTGGGATAGGTGAGACACAGGCAACAGGCAGCGTCACTTTTCCACTCTCCCTTGCCAGGTAAACCTTCAACCTTCTTTCATCACCAATCTGCAGAGAGAAAGGTAAAGGCTGAACGCTCAGGCTTTGTTTCTGTGGTTCTACAGTAAAAGCCTCTGAGTAGCTTCATAGTAGCAGCAGGGTAAAGGAGTGCAGAGGGACGCTGATCTGTGGAGGAATGTTACTGTGCTCACAATGACCAACTGTTGGACTGTTTGGGATTGTCAAGGCTCCTCGGTGACAGGAAGGCAGGGCTCTCTGTGGACGATGAACCGCTACACCATGCTGAAGCAGCTGGGGGATGGCACGTATGGAAGTGTGGTACTGGGCAAGAGCAATGACACTGGGGAGCTGGTGGCCATAAAGAGGTAAGTGTAGCTCCAGTAAACATGCCAGGGACTTACTGTGTTGTTTTGTCTCGAAGCATTAAGCTGATTAAACTCAGAGCGACTGCTCCAAGGTGCTTCACAGCTCTAGACTCAAATACGTTGCATCGTGACATCATAAAAGAAAATGTTTGAGTCAAAGTTTTGCCTTGGTCTGCACCATGTGTAGCCATTTTATAGTTAATAAGCTCCTGGAATGACAAGGTTTAGGAAAATTTGAAGACTAACAGAATACTTATCTGTCATTATTATTGGAATTATTACAGTGTTGTGCTTTCCTAACCTCTTTCTTTGAACATAGAGCACATTTTAAGGATGAGCTGTTTAAGATCTTTGGCAAGAAATTAATAATGAATGTTTCACGAGGCTCCGCCAGGCACTGTTTGTAAGTGTAAGGTTATAGTGCAAGCTGATACTACAGATGACAGTGAAAGGAGTGAAAGTACACCACAGAGTGTGGCCCCTGGAGTATGGGAAGACGGAAGGTTAAAACAAGTTACACATGTAAAACATATCAATAAAGGGATGCAACATTTTATGGAGAGAATGCTCTCAAAAGTTTTAGACAGTGCCTTCTGACATTTGTGTTAAATGAAAACTAAAATTGCTACAAAATAACTAATATAGGAGTAAACCAGAGTCAGATGGCTTTGTATTATATAAATTCTAGGCACTTTATCCTACCATTTTAAAGGCTTTTTGTGCCATTTTGTGTGGCTGTCAATGTGAAAAGTTGCTCTAGGCTGTCTTTATTAGCTCATGCTATCAGGTTAAATATAACAGTTGGAATACACGGTAAAGATATCATGATAATTGCACTGAAACATTTCATATGTTTTAAAGATAATTAGAGATGTGAGTTTTGTTTTAGAGGTCTAGGACAAGGCCAATTACATTTCATATTACTGTCAACACTTATCAGACATATGCAAATTTGTTTTTCTCAACAGGATGAAGAGGAAGTTTTATTCTTGGGATGAGTGCCTGAATCTAAGAGAGGTGAAGGTGAGAACTCTGCAGTCAGACAAGATATCACCACTAGCTGATACAGTAGCTTTACACACAGTAGGCTACATTAACGATAATATGTACCAGCCATGACAACACTATTGTTGCGCTGTTGTTTTCACCTTGTGTGTGCGTGTGTGTGTGTCTGTGTGTCCTGGTGGCACCTAATGTAGAGGGAACTACCAAAGAAGCCATTTTGGGTTTCTGTTTCTGTTTCTTTTGTCATCACAATAGTGTCACAACTTGTGCTAGATGCAGTCACAAAACTTTACAGGTGTGTGGTTGAGATAAAACATGAAGGCTGAGATCGGACTTGGGTGTGGTCCGAGTAAGGGTGCTGGAAGTAGGGGGATAGGAAATGGGGAAGGGGTTGTTTGCTTCCCATTTGTTGTCTCTGGCCGACCATGTCCGGGTGGTCTTTATTTGGCAATATTATCATTTCAAACAATCAGTCTTTCCGCCTGTAAAATCCTGCTGTTGTTTTGGAATATTCATATATTGAAGTTATGAAGTAAAGCTGTAAGGACAGAAACTGATATCTAATATAATTTGTTTGACAAGTATAGTTTTTTTGTGCTACTATTGAAGGCCCTACCATTGCTGTTTTAAGCACTGCACTGCACTGGTATAGCACCTTTCTAGTCTTCATGACCACTCAAGCAGTTTTACACTACTGAGTCACGTTCACCCAGAGACACACACATTCACACACTGGTGGCTGAGGCTTCCATTCACACGCTGTCACACACCAATGGAACAGCCATCGGGGGCATTTCGGATTCAGCATCTTGCCCAAGGATACTTCAACATGCGGACTGGAGGAGCCAGGGATCAAAATCCTACTTCCAATTGGTGGACGACCTGTTCTACCTCTAAGCCACTGCGTCCCCAGTAGCTCGGTCCATAGGGACTTGGCTTGGGAACCAGGGAGTTGCCGATTCAAGTCCCCGTACAGACCAAGTACGGAGCGTGGACTGGTAGCTGGAGAGGTGCCAGTTTCCCTCCTGGGCACTGCCGAGGTGCCCTTGAGCAAGGCACTGAACCCCCAACTACTCGGGGTGCCCGTCTATGGCAGCCCACACGCTCTGATATCTCTCCATTTAGTGTATGTATGGGTCCTGTTTATTTATTTTATTTATGCCTTTATTTTAACAGGGAGGTCCATTGAGAGCAAGCTCTCTTTTTCAAGGACGCCCTGCATTGAGCACAATTCAAAATACAGGTCACAACACATCAATGCAATACAAGAGTACATAAGTGTAAAGTGCCAAATATAATAGTAAACCAGACTAAGAATTAGTCTACGATTAAGAAGTTAAAAAGTTCAGAATATATATCACAACACATAATGCAGTAAACGAGTACAGTAATATAAAATGCCGAATAAAATAGACAGAATTTGTGCAGACAGTTTGTGCATGTGTGTGTATTTCCGGCCTGTGTGTGTATGACGAGTGAAAAAATAGAATTTCCCCTCAGGGATTTATAAAGTATGTTTTCTTATTCTTCATATAAACATGGGGTATATTAAGATATTATTGAAGAGTTTGTTATAAATAAGCTAAGTTATAAAGTTATTGGCCAAACTTGAGTCTTAACTTAGCTTTGACAATGAAAACATGACAATACATGAGGAAGATGTCAGCTTCACAATGTTTTCCTGTCATTTTTAATTCTGTTGCACTGCATGATGAATTACAAACTTCATAAACTGCTCTAGTTAGCCAGAAAGTTTTAGATGAACCCTACCTGAGTCTGTGTATGGAAACACACTGACAATAAGGAGTGTGAAACATTTTGGCAACTTAAACCACATTATTCTTGGCATGTACTGGTTTTTGTAAATGAGCCTTTTGGAGATATATGAAGAAGCTAATTTCAGACACTGTGTCGAGGCATTTGAGGTAACGTACTTACATAATGAGCTGATTCTTGATGATTCTGTTGTTTATGTGTCTCCTTAATACTTTGTGTTATCAGTCACTAAAGAAGCTGAACCATGCCAATGTGGTGAAACTGAGAGAAGTCATCAGAGAAAACGACTATCTCTACTTTGTCTTTGAGTACATGAAAGAAAACCTCTATCAGCTCATGAAAGAAAGGTAAGAACACATCACACAGCCTTTTTTATTTTTACCAGCTGTGTAGTTATTTTTGTGATACAATTCAGCAGTGTGTTTTTTATTACCATTCAGAATGTAAGAATTATTTGGGTCAGCCTGAGTCATCATGTGTTGGTCTTCATTTTTGCAGAAACAAGTTGTTCCCTGAGTCAGTCGTCAGAAACATTACATTTCAGATATTACAGGGACTGTCTTTTATTCATAATCATGGTAGGTGACTTCCAGCAAAGCATTTCAGTACAAACTAAAGAAAACCTGACTCTGCTGTCTTCTCTGTCTTATAAAACGATGTGTTATCAAGCTGTCAGCACTGTCCTGGTATAAATAGTTCATAACTGAGTAAACATTAAACAACATATCTAAATCTGAGAAGTATATGAATGCTGGACAGTTGATACGACATCAGGTATCAAAGGATTTTCTCCAGCCAAAAATGACTCACTTCTCCTGTGAGAAGAGGAGGTGTGAGTGGTACCAAAGCTGAACTGAACAAGTTTTTCTCTCCTCTATCAGCACTGTTTTTAGTGCTCGTGGGTGCAAGTGTCATTCCCACTTCAATAAGGCATGATTGTTTGCATCGTGTGTGTGGTTTTTTTTTTCTTCATCATCTCTTTCTTTCTTTTGTCTCTTACCACTTTTGCCGCTGCCAGAGAAGATAAGATGTTTTCTGAAAATGAGATAAGGAACATTCTGTTCCAAGTGTTGTCTGGCTTAGCATTCGTGCACAAGCACGGTAAGAGACTCCTCCTGTCTTTTGCTTTTCCTCTCCACTTCCGTAAAGGCTTGTCTGTGCTTTATCAGGTTAAAACATCTTTTTTTTTTCAGAGATGTTTTAATTCTGTGTTTCAGATCTTTAAAAAAAATGAAATTGCGATATTCATAGATAGAAAGTGATGTCATTATTAGTGGTAAAAGTGGTGCTGGCTGTGATAGTAGCAGAAACTTAGAGGCAGTGTTTAGCCTAGATAAACAGCAGCATCAGCGCAGGTTTACTTGACTGTCTCGTGTTTTTCAGGGTATTTCCATCGTGATATGAAACCAGAGAACTTGCTCTGCATGGGCCCAGAGCTGGTTAAGATCGCTGATTTTGGACTTGCCAGAGAAATACGCTCACAGCCACCGTACACTGATTACGTGTCTACAAGATGGTGAGACTGAATTTATCTACAAGATAAAATCAGAGCAATGTACGAGTCATTCCTGTAGATGATCAACATAACAAGCGTTGTTGATTTGTAGTCTGACCTGAATCGACGTTTGACTCACAGTAACACCTGCTGTAATACCACTTACTTTAAAAAGACGCTTAGATTAAATTGATACTGACTGCAGAAAAGTAAATCCATTCAAGAGATGGAAGACAAACTGAATAGACAGAGGATAATCAATGTTGAGATTAATGGGGCTAATTTGGCTAATGTCCTCTATTTATACTACACAACACCATTAATTTATTACTTCTACTAATGTCAACTAGCTATCCCGTTTTAGGACATTGAACCTAGATGAAAAGCCTTCCCATGTCCTCAATAAAGCTGTACAAATGAACAAATCATCTGAGGAGTTCAGTAATCCCAACATACATTTAGAAAATTCAACAACATACTCTCCCTTGTAAAGCCTTGAATTTGATCCTTTAATACAGTGGTTCTCAAATGGTGTGCAGTGATGCCAATCAAGGTGTGCCGTGGGATTTTGTGATAACCACACATTATTATTGCAATATTCACCTGAGCCCATACAAAAAGTTACAAATTAATTTTAAATTGACTGGATCAGTATATTGTGGGCACCCATTTCCTAATTAAGAGGCAAATTCTACTTTACACTTTATGGGCACTTTACAGGGAACCTATTTGTCACCGGTTGTGTATGGGAATTACTGGTGTGTAGTGTAAATTACAGCAAAGCACCAGCAAAGATGACCTACCACCAAAAGAAAAGAGAAGTAGACAGTATCATGAAAGCTGTTTTTTCTTATTTTTATTGTCTTATGTCGTGATAAGGGTGATAAAGCAAGTTATATAAGCTATTGTACACAAAAACAGGTGTGCCCTGAGATTTCAACTTGCCCGCTGGTGTGGCTTTGGCACAAAAAGTTTGAAAACCACTGCCTTTATCCACCGGCTCTCTACCTGTGGTCCCGACCCTCACTTGGGGTCGCCTGAGCTTGATGGGGGTCGGGAGATCCTCTTGATTTTAAGAGGTGTATAGAAACCTTTTAAAAATATATACAGTTGGCCTTTATCTCAGCATTTTATCCATTTCTGCCAATAAAACTAAATGAAATTGTCAATTTTAAGATTTAGATTATTATTCAAGATATAAAGTTCTAGGAAAAACCTTGCAGGATAAGAGCACAAAGACCTAAACTAAACCTTTATTCACAGAGCCTTCACTCTACACCAGCCTTGTCCTGCATTAGAAAAATAGTAATTAAAACAACCAAAGAGCTAACAGAACAATGGCCAAAGATCAGGGAGATCAAAACATTGAATCTGTCAAAAAGAAGCCCATAAAGTATGTATAACTGTTTAAAACAAACATGATATAGAGAACTGTATTAAACATTCCTATTAATATCAGGAAAATCTTGATGATGTAATATTCACAGGAAATAATCTGCTCAAAATGCATCCAAATCTCTAATTTTACACAAACTTCCTGCAGTTATTGCGTTTACTATTTTACAGTGTGCTAGTTGTTCTATATTTTTGTTGTGATATGTTGAATATTATATGAAATATCCATACAATTTGTTATCCTGTTAGGGGTCATGGAGGAGCTGGAGCCTATCCCAGGTGACATTGGACGAGGGCAGGGTACATCCTGGACAAGTTACCAGACTATCACAGGGCTGATGCATAGAGACAGACAACCATTCACACTCACATTCACACCTACGGCCAATTTAGAGTCACCAATTAACCTGCATGTCTTTGGACTGTGGGAGGAAGTCAGAGTAACCCACGCTGACATGGGGAGAACATGTCACTAATCTTTCATGGTTCGAACCCCCATCCTCTTGCTGTGAGGCGACAATGCTAACCACTGCACCACGAGCCGCCTAAAGTCTTAAAATGTACAATGAAATAAAGGGAAAGTTTGTTAATTGAACAACAGATAGTACTGGAATATAGCATGGATGTAAAAGGAATGCTGACCAAAAAAGCAAGAGTACAGTTAAATCACTAAATGTAAATGTTCCATTTATTTTTGTTACAGGTACCGAGCCCCAGAGGTTCTACTAAAATCTAACTCCTACAGCTCACCCATTGACATCTGGGCTGTGGGATGCATCATGGCGGAGCTTTACACACTTAGACCTCTATTCCCCGGCAACAGCGAGGTGGACGAAATCTTCAAGATCTGTCAGGTGCTGGGAACGCTGAAGAAGGTGAATCATCAAAACAGGGTGTCAAATGTTGTGGCTCTGCTGTCGACATGAATGTATCTTTAAAATCGTGTCTCTCACCACTTCAGTCAGCCTGGCCTGAGGGCTTCAACCTGGCCACCTCGATGAACTTCCGCTTCCCAAAGTGCGTCGCCACCAGCCTCAGATCCCTGATCCCTAACGCCAGCAACGAGGCGATCACACTGATGAAAGACATGCTGCAGTGGGATCCTGAGAAAAGACCAAGTGCTGCTCAGGTACATTTTAAAACCTATTCAGTCTGAGCATACACTGGTTGGAATAAACCTACAAAGACTACAGTGAAGACGACTGACTAATGTGGAGGTGACAGTGTTTGCAGAGGGACACAAGTCCTTTGGTGAATGCTTTTATCCAGAGCACCTTGAGTGCAGCTATTTTTAGTCTGGGAGGCCCAAGTGGGAATCAATCAGCTTACCCTTGGCAGTTACTGTAATACCAAATTTAGTATCTGTGTGAACGACTGAGCCAATGCACGTCCACAGACTGCAGACACATAGCATTATTAAAACATTTTAACTGCTGCTGAATCTTGAAAACGCAAAAAAAGAAGTTTCCAGTGCTCCACATATTTACCTCCGCCAAGGTGGTTATGTTTTTAGTTCGGTATGTTTGTCAGCAGGATTACAGAATAACTACGAGCCCGATTTTAATGGAACTTGGTGGAAGGGTGTAGCATGAGCCAAGGAAGAACCTGTTCAATTTTGAAGCAGATCTGAATCACGGGGCAGATACATGAATGATTTTTCAAATTCATTAACAGTGTGTGATGGGGCATTTGGCCCTGGCATAATAGATGCTAATAAATCTTAAAATCCAATAGATGGTAGTAAAGTTCAATAGTGGCAAAACAGCCAATCGTAAAATAAGATAAATCCAATATCATAATCAACATTCATCAGTAACAGTAATCCTCTGGGGTAGCCTAAAAATGTTGCTGCTCAAAGTTCACACAGAAAGCAGTTGTTATGGAGCACACTGCAACAGTGGTTTCACAGGAGTCATGTTAAGTGTGTAAAATATTTCCAATTTAGAAATACATAATAAATGCACAGCTGAGATTATAAGGTTTCAGCTTGGCACAACCATATTTTGACATCATTCCAATAGTTTAGGAAATATATACAGACATATATTTTGGTTGCACTGGCAGATTTGCATATCATAGAAGACTGGACTATTTGCCTTGGCAGAGGTCTGCACTCTTCGACTGCCCTTCTAGTAATGTAACTCGTTTTACATTTCCCTTTACATATCCCATATCCTGTACCCACTGACTTATTTTTATGTTTTTGTCTGTGCTTTCACTGTGATATGGCTCAATAGTTTTTATTACTGTGAAACTTTACACATTTTGACAAATTAACGCCTGTCTAAACTAGAGGCCTAATCTGCTTGCCAAGCAGTTCATCTTTTTTTCACAGAAAATCTTCAGATGTATAAAAGTGGGTTGTTGGCTACCTCTAATTATGTGTCCATTCCTTGATTACCCTGTTAGTTATTTATACTCCTTTACTCCATAAGGGTCCTCAGATAAAAAGAATGACAAGTTTTTCTCATAAAAATTATCTAAGTTGTGTGTATTGTTTTAACAGAATGATGTGGTGTTGTGTCAGTACGCAAGGTGCCATAATCCTCTCTGATGCCCCATCTGTCAGAGCTAGATCAAATGAATGATTTATAATTGTTATATTATCTGAAGCCTAATTTATATACAAGTAATATTCATACTGGTTTACATAAACAATTTGATTGTATTTCCCAATCTCTGCTGAGCTTTTGTGTGAAAGGAATTAAAAGCCCTTCCTACAGTATATAGACGCTTGTCCCAAATATAGGCCTGTTGATTTCAGTGATTTAAGCAAATGATAGCCCGAGCTATTAATTGACGTTTTACAGTAGGCTATATGCATCACATTTTTATGTATATTCCTCCCTTAATTAATTTTTTTTATGCTGCAAGCTTCTCATTAGTGGAAAATCTAAATCTTGAGCCTGAGCATGAACTAAAAATAGGATGTCTACGGGTATAAATGAGTTACATTTAACACTTTTAAAGACCTTTTTAATACCACTTTAAGTGAAATGTAAGACCAAACTTACCATGGAAATACACATCAAGTGAAAATGTAGTCTTTCCTAGAGAAAAACACTGATGTCAGTTCAAATTGAACAGTATGGTCAAATGACACTAATGATACTCTCTCTGCTTTCTGCTCTGCACAACTACGCTAATGAGCAGGCTAGCAAGTCCTTAGCTTAACGATGCAAACTCAGTGTGTAATCTGAATGCACAGATGGGGCAAAAACAGGGGCATACAGGTGTTTTGTAGAAGTCCATTCCCTTCTTAAAATGATGTTTCCTGTAGTGCCAACGCTAAAAAACCTTACAGTAACCTTACTAAAAACATCTTAAATCCAATCCAATCCAATCCAAATTATGACAGTTTAGTACTTTTCAGGGCTTTTTTAAGGGCCTGCATCCACCCTGTAAAAAGAAGATTATTCATGGTTTGGTTTTTCCAGGCTCTACGGTATCCATACTTCCATGTCGGCCAGGCGCTTGGTGCTCCTCTGATGTATTTGGAGCAGCACAAGGCTCAGACAAAGATGTCCGAGGCAGCCGCAGAAACAAAGCCCCTGTCCCTCTGTAAGATGGACCCAGAGTTTGGTGAGCCAAGTAGGACACAGCTCTGCAGCCAAACTTCTCACCAGCCCCTTCAGCAGATCCTTCTACCTCAGGACAACATGGAGCCAAGCACAAAACAAGCACTGTGTTCCAGCACGCTGACAGAGGGGCAACAGGAACCTCTCAGCCTGGTGAAAAACAGGCAACCGGTGAGCTGGCAGGCTGTAGGTGTCACTCAAGTGCAGATTCTAAATGTCAGATTGGGACCCTCTGGGGACTTACAGAACTTTTTTGTTCTGTTTGTTCATTTTGTAGCCTACAAGAGCAGCACCCACAGGAGCAGAGAACAGCATATCTAGGGTGAGGACAGGACGTCGAAGATGGGGCCAGACGTCTTTCAAATCCGTCGACAGCTGGGACGATAGTGAAGACACAGACACTGGAGTCTCCATCTCCAAAAAACCTACCATCAGCTCTGTGAAGGACAGGGCACTGGGCGGGCCCAGCTGTCGGTTAGACCTCTTCATTTAATGTAAAAGATGTGTTTTCATTCCTGTTTTGAAAAGAAAAAATACAATAACAAGTTTCTGTCCAGATTTCCAGAGTCAAAGAGCAACACAGGAGCAAAGGTGCCGAGCAGCAGCGGGCTGAACAGAGCTGACTCCACCTTGTCTGCCAAGCAGCACTACCTCCGCCAGTCCAGATATCTGCCTGGTGAGAAAACATGATCTACTGAATCACAAAAATCACATGAACGGTTCCCATGCCCTCTGGAAAAACTTTTGGGTTCATCCACTCCCAAAGGAGTTTTTTTTTTGTGAGATTAAAAAGTGGCATCTCTGCCTAAAACCAGTGACAGAAGATTAAATACCAACAGAAACATTATGAGATCTGGGTGAATTGTTGTGTAGGCTCAGGTACAGTGAGTTCATTCTGACTTTCTCCTTTTCAGGCATAAATCCTAAAAACAACTCATCAGTAGGACGTCAGGCAGTCGGCAGAAACCTGTGGGGCAGCTCGTCTTTAACCAGAGGAAAGGTGCCGGAGTTTCCACTGGATAAAGGTAAGAAAGACTCGAGGACAAATGTGAGGATGTTTATATGTAGCACTGATATCTGTTTTGAAAAGCAGGTGTGAGCAGTTTCCTGGGTTTGAGGAGTTCACAGAGTAAAAGAGTCAGTGAAAAATCACATGATTAAAGTAATTTAAATTACTAGATAATATGCTGATGCAGTGTCAGTGAGGGAAAAAACTTCTTTAGGTCTCTTGACATGGGCTACATATTTTTGTAAAGCAAATTTACCTTGTTTTGGTGCTTTATGGCAGTGGTTCTCAAACTTTTTCAATAATGTACCCCCTTTAAATATTTTTTCAGCCAAGTACTTGCTGACTAGTGCAAAACATTTTTGGTAGAAATACACAGTGAACACACATGATTGCATTTCTTGCAGCAGTTAACAGTTGCATTGAAAAGAGTAATGCTGAATACAAAATGTGGTTTATTGGGTGTACAGTTGCATTTACATTTTAATTTAACTTATTATAGTATAATTATATTAGGAATCAGATAGGAATTTTTAGAGAATGTGTATTTATAAAAAAAATCTCACATACCCCCTGCAGTACTCCAAAGTACCCCTGGGGGTACCTGTACTGCCATTTGAGGGAATGCCGTATGGGAATTAATCTAAGACCCTGGTGTAAGTTTTCTGGTTCTTCTCACCGCATGCAGCAAACATCTCATCTAATTTTTGAAGCACTGTACTGATGCTTTTTTTGAGAATACAATTTGGGAGACATTCAAGTTCTACAAAGTTATTGGTATTGGTAAATATAGTTTTGAAACTACTGCAGATAATTACAGCATCACAGTGGTGAAAAGATCAGTGTAACGTGCACGTATTGATTTCTGTTTATGAGAGTATGAAGCAGCCGGAGCAAAAATTATATAGTGTATATCGCTTTCAGTCACCACAGTGGATCAAAAGGCTTGGGACAGAGTCATTCCTATATAAATGCTGTTTAAATAATTAGCGTGTAGTCAAGTAGTCTGCTTACAGTGTTCATTTGGGTTTTTTTCATACAGCTACAACTCAGCTACTCCCAGCTGACTACATGAGGCTGGTGCTGCGTGCACATTTAAAATATGACAAGAAAAAGAAAGTCATTTTATCTCAATGAAAAACAGTCTCCTTCAAGCTTAGAACAAACTGACAAAAATGAGTCAATGAGGTACAGCGGTGAAACTTGGGTCTTCCTCAGGCTACCTTGTGTAGTCCACTCAAAAAATGTGTAACAGTCATGGCTGCTGGTGATGGAGACAGAAAATGAACGTGGAGAAAGCACCTGTGGCTGAAGCCGCTCTCGTCAGGTGGACTGATAATAAAGCTGTCCTGTGTTTTTAACAAACAATAAAATTCGGTGAATACAGAAGCTTTCCATTTTATTACTTCATAATGATGTAATAAATATACAAATGTCACTTAGTAATCTGAAATGAAAAAAAATCCATAGTAATAATCATTCTCTTATAGTAAAATTCAGATTATTTTCTGATCATTGTGTTGTTTTCCTCCTCTCTTCGTTCTATGTTGTGGTTTTAGACAATAGTCTTTCTAAACCACCAGATAAACGGCCTCTGAAAGAAAAGACCCTGGAGGATCTTGATCTCTCCAAAGGTATCTCTAAAATTTAGGAGCAGGTCACCGAATTAAAGGTGGTGTTTGTGACTTATGATGGTGTTTCTACCTTACTGTCATTTGGAGATAATTGACATTGTTGAAATTTCAAGATGAGGCAAATAAATTGACCTCTAAGTAATGATTTAAGAGAAGTGGTTTACATCTCATTCTTCACTATCCTCTCCAGACTCCTTCATGAGCAACTCCAACCACCCAAACAAGACACACACGTCATCGTTTCAGAAGACTGAAACAGGAGCAGCTCGACAGAGGGTTACACTGGCACCAATAGGAGGGACCTCTGCTGGTGAGAACTTTTTATTTCTTGCACAGAATAATGGTTGAGTCAGATGGTTCCTGGAAACTTAATTCATTGTGTCTTGAGAACAGTAGTGAGTACATGTCCTTAACTTTCTCTACAGTCATACTTGAGCAAAAACGCCCCCTGGTGTTAGAAAGAAGTCAATGTCCTCCTTAAAGATATGAGAGTCTGTCCCTGATGATGAAGTATTCAAGGATTTTGTAGGCAGTACTTTCAGACACTGACATGATGGATCTGTTCAGTATCATGTCTTTTAACCTTTTTTATGTATTGCCTTTTTGTGACTCTAGTTGACCTGAGAGTTGAGTCTAAAATCAAATCATCCAAGAGCAAGACCTCCTCAAATAAACTGTCACTCTCAAATGAAGGTAAAGACAAAAATCATCACTATGAGAACAACATATGCAGCTCGATGTGTCTTCCTGATTTCATCCTAAACGCACTTTCCTTCTCTCTTACTACGATCTCCCAGAATACGAAGGGTGGAAGAGCAGATCTCTGAATCCTCACATCATGGGGCCCAGCGCTACAGGGAGGAACACGTTTCCAAGGAGCACAAACATCCAACCAGTGCACGGACGGGTGGACTGGACTGCCAAATACGGAGGCCACCAGTAGCACAGCAGTCTGCTCTGCTCCACCAGTGACTCATGGGAAAAAGATCCCACTACACTTTTGCCAGGAAAGACAGACTTCAGAGAAGTGTTTCCTGCTAGTCTGTCGTTACATTTGTTATGCTATTTATATTGTTTAAGTGTCTCATAAATTCTACTGTCAGAATTTTTTTAAATAATAGAGTAAAAAATGAATTTAAGTACACCTTTTTTATCAAGTGGGTGAATTTATTATTTTACAGCAGTAGATATACATTTACAAAATTAAAAAAACATCACCTAACTGTACCCTTGTACCCTTTCCTCTAAAAAATATTTTATATTACATTTTTTTTTATACAGAATCAGACTATAATAGAAAACTGCATTGAGGGAATGTTTGTGAATGAACAGCATGTGGGAGCATTTTTTTATGTCAAAAATATGTACAGACACACAGAAAGAGTACATATATGTGTATTTTCAAGTTGTATGTGTTTTCTTTAGCATCCCAGTGATGATCTTCACCAGCATCAGTCCACTGAAAAGAAACATTTATATAGTAAATGTGATAATTGTCTGTTTGTCTCAGGTCAGTAAATGCAAAGGTCTACAATCTACACTGGCGCAGTAGCATCTGACAATAAAAGAAAATATGTCTTACCTTGCTAAAGTCATTAAACCAGCTGGCATGAACTTCCACGAGTTGAGAAATCGCAGTCCCATCACCACGGCCAGTGTCCCCGAGGTGCCTGCAGGGAAACAGTTGTTGTCGTGTTTATGAAAGCTGCAGTTGGACTGTCACACTTTGACAAACTAAACTTGCTCACCAAGTGAAAGCCAGACATTCTTGGGATTTTGAGATGCCAGATAAGCACCGACTGCAGCCAGCAGGCCAAAAAGGAGCCCTGCAGCCAGAGAGGTGACGCTGCCTGCGGAGGAAACACAGCTGGGTTTTATTTTGAACTGTTTAATTATATTTGGTGCATTTTTTTTCTCAACTCTCCATTTTTGACCTAAAAAACTAATTATCTACATTTTATTTGCAGAATTATACTGTATGTACACTAAGATGCCAGTTTATTAGGGACAACTAGCTATAAGACATCATCCCTGCAGAAGAAAAATCAATCTTCATTAAGGTTATAATATCCAGCTTTGTTTAAACTGATTTAGAGAGGTGTTGTGTCAATGTCATGATCATTTTGGAGGATTTTGTGGTTATACTGAGAAGTGTTTCTTATATTTATACACCTTACTTATTTCAATGAGGTCAGACTAAATAATGAAAACACTTGTTAGTATAATTCAATACAATTCAAAAGCACCCCAAATTTAAATGTCCTAAATGACCACAAAGTTCAATTTAGACTTTAAGCAAAACTGAACATTATAACCTTCATGAAGGTTGGGTTTATTGCAATTGGTCAATTGATAATTAAGTCATATTTCATGCAGCATTGCAGCAGCTGTGAGGGTTTACTGCTTTTCCTTTATAAAATCATTTTATGTAATATTTTTTTAATTCTATAATATTGGTACTGTATGAACCAAACAATCAACTGAATAATCAAGTAAATAATTAGATGATGAATTCACAATGAAAGTATTTATTATCATTACATTAGTTTGAGTCCTGTACATAATAGTTAACAATGAGCTCCATCTCATACAACTACAGCAGTAAAATGCTGTTTTTATATTAATGTATGAGTGATAATATTAAAGTACAACAGTAACGGAGGCATTTTTATACTTTTAAAATACCTGAAGTACATTTTTCTGATATGACTTACACACTTTTACTCAAGAAACATTTTCAATTTGTACTTTGAAGTACGGAAAGTCTCTGAATAACATTATTTCCTCCACCACTGTTATATCTAAACACAAACTATGTTGGTATGTGTCTCTCCTACCTGCTTTAACATAACCCATGATTCCTCCTGCTGACACCAGAGCAGCATAGGTGAACCCAATCCAGTCTACAGCCATGTCAGGAGACCACAAACCTGCTGCTGTAAATCACACTTTATTTTAAAACAAACTGTCAACAGCTGAACAATTACAAAATAGCGATAAAGTGTCTGCCAATCATTGTGCTATTAAAATATTACCAAAAACGTATGAAAACGAGCCCTACCTGAATTTGAGAACAAGCTTGGCACACAACTTCCGCACCCTGACCATATCACTTCCGGTATACTACGGCGCTTTCAGAATAAAAGTACGTAACTATTTTTCATTATTTTTAACTGATTATTTCTCATTAGTTTTGAACAGAGCCAAACGAAACACGTGGTGTCTCAAACCCGACTCATGACGATCATACCACCAAGAAATCAAATATATATATCCCTCAGAACATACAATATGCAGCTGTGGTTTATCGCCTCCCTGTGGTCACCATGAGTAAATGCATGTGACAATGAAACTCAAGCTAAAAAAAAAAACTGTTCATGGATTATAAAACATTTTTATTGTTGGCTGTGTCATTTCTATTGTCATTTCTCTTCTTTTCAATGTTGACTGCCAAATATATTCACAAAGTCTGTTCTTAAAAGGCTGTAGCAATCACAAAAAGCACATGCATATGTGACCAAGTATAAAACAGTCCATGAATGAAAAAACAGATTTATTATTTTCCAATTTATTTTCCAGTGCCCTTTTTCTTCTTTTTGGGTTTGCTCTCGTCTTCCAGAATGACTTCTTCTGCTGCGATTCGGACTCTCTTCGTCTTTGAAAGCTCCTGAGTGAGCTCTGTGGACAGGAGTGAACAGAGGGAGTGTGTTACACAGAAGTTAAACCACAAGGCTCCTTATTCTAGTAAGAGAAAGCTGAACCACCTACAGTGCATCCCTATCAACATGGAAACTAAAAAGACCAAAATCACCAGCCTCAGTATAACATCTAATATCTACAGATATAGACGTGCCATGATTATGACATGCAACAACAGTCAGTGTTTTCAGGACCTTCAGATGTTGTTGCCCGAGCTGCTGGTTCGTCAGTGATCTGCTGCACTGATGAAGGTTTCCACACAGCCAGGCACGTCAGTCTGGCCATTGTGTTCACTTCCCCAAGGAGAGAGGGAGACTCGACCTCCTGTTGGACAGTAAGAGTACATTGCTAGATCAGGTAACAACAATGTCACTTTGCTAATCTTTGCTTTTATTATAACAGGTTTTATTATGTCAGAAATTTTCACTACTTATCTGACTATATCTGCATATCTTATTGTAGTTATTATTGCTTGAACTTTATTACTCTGATTTGCTGAGTAGATACAGTATGTAAATTGGTCGTTGTTTTAAAACATACACTGCTGCTGCAAATTCAGTGTTGTTGAATTTAAATGTTCATATATAACACTATAGACGTGCCTCTTTTAGATGGAGTTTCCACATTTTGATGAATCCGTCGTTTGAAGCCGTCACCAGCACGCAGTAATCCTCCATCATGAAACTGTCAACTGCTTTCACTCTGAAATCACAAGAGGATATAAATTTCTCTGTCCTCATCATCAGTAATGTATGCTTAGAAATGCAACTCAAAATACTTTAAATACATGAATCTGCAAAATAAAAAACACTATGAATTTACCTGGTTTCATGAGCCTTAAACTCACACACCCATGTCTCTTTTCCTACGTCACATAACCTCACAATTTCATCGTCCCCTGCGACGGCCAGAATGGAGTTCTGAAAAACAAGCAGGATTACAACATCTATGTTAAGTGCAACTTCTACATTTTTCAACCTATTCTCCCCATGTTTTGTGTCTAAGTGACTAATGGGAACAACAGTTTTTGAACGTGGTCAAGTATTGAGCCACAACGCCGCAGCCGGCAGCCACAAAATGCTGCGATGCAATCCTTCTGGACAAAATGCACCATCAATTTATGTCAACTAAAAGTGTTTGTTTTGCCACTGGCAGGTCCAGATTGTTATTATAAGGGTCTGACAGCATTATGCAAAGGACTCAAACATTTTTCTTACATTTTCGCTCAACCTGACTGTTTGTTTTTGTGTCTGTCCAAGGCTCACTCAATGAGAAGCCTTGCTGCAGCGCTCTCTCTCAATACTGGACCAATTAAAAAAATAGTTGTACCCATAAGTCACTTAGAAACAAATACACGGGAAAACAGGGTTCAGGGTGAAAAACTACAAAATTTCCCCTTAAAATTACAGGGTTTGTTTTGTTGATGTTGCTTATTACTGAAGCGCAACAAGCTCTATATCACATATACAGTAAATGTCATTGTAAATGCAGCTTTTGTCAGAACTCACATTTAAGAACTTAACAGATGAGATCCTCTTGGGGTTTTTGACTGTTCCTGTCACAGAGGCTGTCTCCAGGTCGTAGATGCTCACTGTGTCATTCACCACGGTCACATATTTATCTCCATCTGGAGACCATCTGACAATGTGTGCATCTGTGTAAAGCATTGAGAAATAAAGGTTGAACTCATTTCAGACATACTTCTGTTGCTAAAAGAACTTAAACAGAACATTTCCTTCACTTCACAGTCCAAGAAAACGCTTACTCTGTTTTATGTTTTTGATGAAGGCCGATCGTCCGTTAGTCAGATTCCATGTTCTACAAGAAAAAAAAAGACACAACAATCATTTTTGATTCCCTGTTAAACTAATCATCTGCCTGACAGAGTTTCCATCAGAGCTGTGAATTTTACCTGAGAGTCTTATCTGTCCCAACTGAAAGTGCAAGTTTTCCAGACGGATGGACGGACAGCGATGTGACATGACCACTGAGGAAAACAACAGCATTAAGCAAGTTACTTCACTTCGTCCCATCAAACAAAAAATACATGTCAACAATCACACAAACAAAATCAACTCAGTGCTTCTGCAGCATCTCTCTCTCTCTCTGTGCTTACTGGTGAGCTTTGATGGATTTGAGACATTCCCACTTCTTTGTGCTCCACACACATATGAGTCCATCTTCTCCTCCGCTCAGTAAATGAGACGCCCCATAAAACTCCAGGCAGGTGATGGTACCTGTGTAATAGATGGAGGTTTGGGTCATGTGTACTTATATTTGATTTTATGATAACTGCACTATTTCATGTTTTATTTCTTGTGTCTGGGATTCTCATTTTTACCTTTTTTTTTTATTTATTTTTTTAAATAGTAATAGTAGCATTATCGGAGGGAGCCTGAGACAAAAAAATTCACTGCCAACAACTGCTAACTGTCCATATATACTCCCTCACTGCCGATTCCTTCATACTCCCATGTAGAAAGTTTAATTACTTCACATGAATATCACCACAGGCCACAGACAATGTTAGACATCCATAGGAAGGCCCTGTGGGGAGATCTTGGTGCCACTGATCCACAGCTACTTGTCAGCATGCATACTTTGATGCCAAACAGAAGTCACTCACCGTCATGATGCAGCAGAGCTCCGTGTTCAGTCCTCTTCTTCATGTCATAAAGCTGTATGGTCTCATCTTTGCTTCCTGTGACAACAAACCTCTCACTGGCTGCAGCAGCTGATATGGATGCAGTGTGGGCGTGATGTGTGAAGTCTGCCGTGGCTGTCCACTCCTGCATGACAAACAAAAACACGTGAAACGACTGGAAATAATGGACACTTTGCAATAAGTGAAATGCTGACCTTATACACAACTACAGAATAAGACACTCAAACGTACCTTCTCATCCGTTTTCACTCGGTAACCAAAGGCGATCTGCTCGTAGCTCCCAGCAATCAGCTCCAGTACAGCTGCCATGCTGCCACTTGGTCAGGGGGCTAGGCTAGCCGGCTAGTTAGCTTTTAAACTTTACCTCTTCCTATCGCCTGGGTTGAGCAACAGCTAATAACAGCTAGTAACAGTCCAAGCAGAGACCTACACGAGAAACACCGCGACTATAAATAACGTGAACAACGTGGTGAACCTATTTAAACATGACTATCGACTTGCTACTTTTGACAAACCCACTCCAAATCCAAAACAACGTGTGCGGCTGGTGCGCATGCGCAATAATCTACTTCCCTCCATTTGGTGGGTGGTGGTTTTCAAAATAAAAGGCAGTGGTGTGAAAACATTTGCGTTTTTGAGCCAGGCATTTTTGATGCTGATTTATATACTTTAACGATGTGTAACGTTATAAGCGTGTACTATCTGTAAGCCTCAAAACAAACAAACAAACAAATAAACAAATAAAAAGCCCCCCCCAAAAAAAAGCCAAAAAATAAAAAATAAAAATAATCTCAAAATTGGACAAGGACCTTGTAAAAAACATATTCTTGGCCTCATTTCGAGGAGTTACGATGCTGTGAGAAAAATTAAATGACTGTTCAATAGTAAATGACAATGAATGAGACTGAAGCCTGCCACCGCAATAATTAGTTATATAATAATTGAGAAAAGCTTTAGTCTATCAACTTAAATTTGCATTTAAACTACATAAAAATACAGCACAATTAGCTTTTGTTAATAGGCTATTTCCTAATATGTCTTTGAACAATGGAATACTTTGGGGTTTATGGTTAGGGTTAGGGGTCTAGAGTTACAACATTTAACTTTATATTAATAAATCATATGAACCCATAATCCTAACCTTGGTTATAACAACTCGTCAGATCTTTTATAATTTCCCAACAGAATATTTTAGTTCAGAGAGCCCAGGGTCTTCATGTTAGATGCTGTTTCCAGCAAAATAGTCTCATTTTTTGTTCATTTGCTTGAACTCAGGTTACAGAAATACAATTGAACAACTGTTTGTAATTAATGTTTTTAAGACAAAGCATCGATTAAAAATCAATGCATGTTTAATAATCAGCTGATCTCTATGAATACCAAACTTTACTCACAGTAAGCCCATTGTCCATTCTGTATTACTCTACTACGACCACAGGATGAGCCCCGCCCATCTAATGACAGAGGGGAGGGGCGAGGGCGCTATGTGTCTCATGATTGGCTGGTTCCGTTGTACACATCATGATTGACGCCTTAGATAACAGTCCGCAACTACAGTTTTTCAGAGGATGAGAAGTCTTAGTGAATTCCTCCACTGATCAGAATCATGGCAAGAAGGTAAGGTTTGGATTATAGATAATAGAGATACACCAAGATAAGTTAAGTTTAAAAATCTGTCTTCAGTTCTTGTTTTGTGCAGGTGTGGAGGACACATTTTCAGCCACTTTTAAACCCGAGGCGTTCAACCAAGACAGAAATATTTGGTGTAAACATAAGCCAAAGTGTAACATGATACGTCTCATGGTTGTTTTTAATGGAAATGTCGAGAAAAAATTAAAGGTTAGCAGGTTTTATTTCTTAAATACAAATGTCCATCTGGTTCAGACCAACCAACAGCTGCTATCAGTGCAGAGTACAGTCAGTACAGTGGATATCTGCATGTTGTGTGTTTGTATTTGTTTGTGTGTGAGTGCTGCAGGGTCTGGTAGTGATTAGGGGGGGGGTTGTATTATACAACAACAGGACAGGACCAGACTAGAAACAAATAGCCTCTGCTGCAGTCAAAGTGTGAAGCTGTTCTCCCTTGTGATATTCAACTGAAGCCTGACTAAATTAAGAACAGAGAAGTTTCTGTACTGTTATGTGCTCCTTCCTGTCATTTGCTTCTTAGTCAACTTTTTTTTCCCCCTGAATGTGTCAAACATCTGCTCAGTTTATATGACAGGAAGGGAGGGACAGTTATTTTTGATACTTGCAATGGCATTGTCACAGACAACGCACAGTGATCAGGGGACGGAGCAGACACAAAGGCTTTAAACTCATAAAAGCATCTGATCATGGTGTCATATTAAACAACCCTGAATCATATTTCTTTGGCCAAGTTTTAATAGCACCCATAAAAACAGCATCTGGAAGGTGCGTGTATCTCAAGTTACAACCTACCTCAAAGCCATGCAGTTGTAACCTAATGATGGAGGCGTGGTTCCTTTATGGAGCTATGGTGTTCCCTACTAGTATATCGATTTCTTCTGCAAGCATTGTGTTGTCTATAAAAGGTGCAAGACAGGTCCCCTTGTACAGTGCAACAAGCTCATCCTGTGGCTCTCTGGATAATACCTGATAAACTTGTTTCAAACTGGACTGTCAACATGTTTCCTGTCATTTTGGCCATGTACGTACAGTATAACATCTGGAGGTTAAGGGTCAGCTCACCTAAATCACTGAAGAATACAGTGTCCCCATAGTTGTGTGGTGATAGGGTAAAAAGTAATTGTATTATTTGATTTTTAGGCCACAGAAATCGCAGAACTTCTGCAAATAAAACTAGACTACAGTGTCTGCAAGGGGAAGTACCACTAAGGAGAAGGAGGAATAATGTTTTTTAGTGGTTTTTAAATAAATGCAGCCACAATATGATCCCAGCATTTGAAACATCCTTTTGTTTAATCAAGAGCTAAGCAACTCAAAAATGTGTAGGATATTGTATATTTTAAGGGTCACCTCTCACACTGACTGTTTTGTTCATGTTTTCCATTTAGGTACATCATTATAGGTATCCAGATGCATGTGTTAATGCTGAATAATCAGCCCTACATTAAAACTTATCACCTACAAATGCTTTAATTTGCATTTTTCTCATAGATTCTTGCTTGAAGCCTGTGCAGCTGTTATCATTTTTGCTCTCATCTATGTTGTAGCTCCACTCTCTCGCACTTTAAAGCTTTTATGTTATTTATTTTTACTGCTTTGACCACCTGACTCTACCTCTGCTACATGGCCACAGCTCCTGCTGGTCATGTTTTGTCGACGCTTTGGAACGTATCTTCTTCACTACAAGGTCACCGGTTGTCATTCATGTGTTGTACTCATATGTGACGATATATTTTTCTCTTTATTGGGCCTTAAGTGAAGGACTTGTCTTGGTATGTTGCAGCAACTTCCTGTTAACTACAGTTATCTGGATGAATTAATCAGGCAGCACACTGTCATAAAAGGGTGCCGATGAGGGGGAGGTTTCCTGAACGACACTATTTGGTTGGTTTAACTGGTTGATTTAATCAGTGGTGGTAGAACAAGAGACGTCTTTCAAACTCATGCTGGCTGTGGAAAACAAACATCTTCTTCTTCTTTAATCCCCCCCCCCCCCAGGAAAACTAATCATTTCTGCATATGGAGAAAATATTTTGATCTTATTTAACCCAAAGAACAGGCTTTTTTCCCAGAAGACATTTAGCTGCTTCCATTTCAGGGTCCTATTTTTGTGCAAGTTTCCTTTTGTCACACTGGTGTCTTACTGGGACTCTTCAATGGAATGAATCATCATTAATGTTATTAGTACCATGTGATTTTCCCCGTGTAACAAGTCAACAAGTCAAAATGTCTGCTGTCAAAAAAAAGCCTTTTCTCTCTTTCTTGGATATCTTTATAACTTTGACCAGATTCCAAAATGTGTATGTTACAATGTTTTATCACAGTAAACAGTCCAACCAGGAGCTCACTGAGGTGCTGAACGACCTCTGGCGCCTGGATACAAACCGTCTCAAGCCGGGGACTGATTACATAATTTCCCTCCAGGTCAGCACCACAAGTCTGCCTTCATTGCCTCTCTGCAATGCAAAACACTCTGTCAGAGATACATGCAGTACACGCAAACCCCACAGAGTTACATGCTGATGTCTGTCTGTGTATTTGTGTGTGTTGTGTTCAGGGGAGGGCAGGTTATGTGGCTCAGGGCAGCAACTATGCCAGAGACAGGGCCAGGGCCCCACTCTTCACATATGTCAATGAAGACAAACTCAAGAGCATCGAGACATACTTACGTAAGTATCAGTGCATGTACTCCATTAAACTCTTTCTTTTGCTAAAACCACCTTTAACAAGCGTGTTTTTTAAAATGCAGATTTCGTCAACTTGCTGGACAACTATGAGATGTCCACGGGTGTAGCAGAGACGGTGACGTCAGAGGAGCTTCAAGAGAACAGGCTCTTCATTGATTCCATCGTGGAGACCGAACTCATGAAGGTGCAGTGGCTGTGAGAGAGAGGGAGCCCATCTCTTTAACACATCTATCGTCACAATCAAACAGCACACACTGATCCTACACAGCAGCTGTTCACACTCCTGGTTACCTCCCAAAATGCTGACAGAGATTCAAGCTGTATTCCACTCTGTGACACTTTTATAACCATTTAGTTTCAGGCCAAATCCGTCAGCAGACTCTATAAAAGTTTTTCTCAACATGATATCTCACATAAGAATGAATGCTTAAATGAAATGTGCACATAACATGCACCCAAACTTCCAGCTACAGACTGCACAAAGGAGTTTACATTCAGTACAGTAGATTGGTAGAATGCATTCAACTGTATACCATATGCCAGTGGTTCCCAACTTGTGGGTCGGGGTCCAAAATTGGGTGGAGAGTCCATTCTGAATGGACCACAAGTGACTCAGAAACATGTCAAGTTTGTAAAAAACAAACTGTATTTTTAAGTACAGTGAATCTCCAGCACAGAGTTTTTATTTTGAGGTGCCATTTCCTGCTATAGATTGACTGAATAAAGGACAGCTACTTGACAGAGACAGCAAACTAGCTTGAGTACAAGGCCAAATACAAGCATGATGCTGAATGTATTAATCAGAATCATAAATACTTTATTGATCATTTACTTTATTGTGAAACAAGTACAGAGAAAGCTAAGCTAAGCTAAAGCTAATCAGGAGCACCTGCAACAGGCTGCATGCACAGTCAACACATGCGTACTAAACTGAGTGGACCTAATGAGAAATCTAGACCCCCTGGCTGGACCAGTTGGGAACCACTGCCATATGCTATCACATATAAAAATGCCATACTGTAACTTCTCTTTCATACATTACACTTTTTTGTGTGTGTTGTGCATCCTTATTATCTCCACCAGGCGTATCGGAATGCACCTAAGAATCGATTATTTCTCTCACCCCTAGTGGTAACCAGTATATGAGCCCAGTGCAGGGTAGCAATGATTTGCTAGCCAGTAGGACACACACACACAGAGACACATATGCACTAACATGCACCTGCGGCCAGACTGGCTACCACAACAAGAAACAGAGAAGCTCAGATTACAGCACACACAGAGGGAGTGTGACTTCATTCTCTTGCTCCACTATATCTTCACACAGGAAGCTGTTTTCTGCTGTATTAATGCTCTGAATGTTGTACAGAGCTCCTTTAATAGCTGCTCTAGCTGCTTTATAATATTAATAAAAACAACAAAGTTACAAAGTACTTAACACGGTTGATCCTGGAAAAAACAATGCAGAATTCAAGCAAATAAAATGAGGCAATTTCAAGAAACACAAGATAGAAATAATAAAAATAATGGAATGAGATGTATATAAAATAAGCAGTGTGCTAAAACTAATAAAAGGCTTTTTTGAACAGAGACCTTTTAAGAAGCGATTTAAAAGATGTCACTAATTCAGTAAGCCTCAGAAAAGCCCAGTCACCTTTTGTTTTTAGCCAGGACTGAGGAACAGCCAATAGAGCGCTGCCTGAGGATCTCGGCCTGCGACCCAACAGGGCAGCAGCATCTCAGCAATGTAGCCGGGGGCTAAGCCATGAATTGCTTTAAAAGTGATCAGTAAAATCTTAAAATCAATTCTAAAACTGACTGGTAACCAGTGAAGAGAGGTTAAAACAGGGCTGATATGGTCATGTTTTCTAGTGTGAGATAAAAGCCGAGCAGCTGCATTTTGTACCAGCTGAAGTCGTGAGAGCTGCTTTATTACAAGATCCTCCTCAGGGAGTTTGCTCAGCTGTCATGGGTATGTAGATGTTCAAATATCTGTTTTTCTGAGCATTTTTAAGACTTCTTGTTCATATTGCCTTAAAAGTTCGAAACATTTTTACTATTCCCAAGCTTGAACTGTCATCATACTGTTTTCTCTTTATAGTGTGCTCACAAGTATCTGGTCAAGAAGGGGCAGTCGTCATCAGACCCTGGACAGTTCAAGAGACAGCTGTACGACATCTGGTTCCGCCTCTACCACAGGGACAGAAATGGAGGGTGAGTTTCAAAGTAACAGCAGGGGGAGCTACTGCAGTGTAGAGAGATGTGATACTAGAGGTGAGCAGAGAGCGCACAGGTTTAATCATCTACAGAATAACTGGTGGAAGTCAACCTTGACTGTTTTCTGCTGCTGAATAAACTGGCATGGAGACAGATGAATATTTTTCTCAAGAATCAAAAAGGAATCTAAATTTTTACATGAATAAATACAGCGATACAACAACGATACATTTGTTTGTTACACTGAAAAAACTCTTAAAATTGCATGCATATAATATTCAGCTGCTTCTGTAAAGAAGGGTTGCAGGTGGTGTTACATTGAGTGCTTTCATTTGGTATCTAGGCAGCAATGCAAACACAGTAGATTAGAGGAAATAAAATTCTAATCTCAGATGACTGAGGTCATACATGGAGACTCAATAAGCCTGTCTTTGAAACTTATTGTTGTTGTTTTTTTTATCACAGAGAGGATTCCTGTGGCTTTGAACATGTGTTTGTGGGAGAGACCAAGTACGGCCAGGAGATTATGGGTCTCCACAACTGGGTTCAGTTCTACCTGCAGGAGAAACACAACCATGTTGACTACAAAGGCTACAAAGCAAGAGACAACAAAGATACAGTAAGACAACACTTTGTTACCATGTGCATTATGAAGATCCTCAACACACTAAACACCTAATAAATTATGTATGTATGATTGTTTTACAGCCTGATGAAGATGACCACGTCCTGAATCTGCAGTTCAGTTGGAAAGGCCTGGTGAAGCCGGTCGGTGGCTGTTTCATTGGTGTCAGCCCAGAGTTTGAGGTGGCTCTCTTCACCATCATCTTCCTCATGTCGAATGAGAAGATGACGTCTGTGGTGGTGAAAGTGGACGAGTACGTGCTGGAGCTGGTTGTCTATCGGCACGGGAGATCCATCGGCACGTCCTACCCTAAACTGCTCAGCAGCAACCACAGAGATCTGTAATATCACTACATCTGAGCTGTCAGCTGTCATGTAAACATTTATATTTACAGTTTAACAATATGTGTTACACTTTCATTTTGTACCTATGCAGTATAATCCTAAGACAAATCCAGATCAGGTTCTCTTTGCACTAAATGTCAGGCTCAAAGTGTCAATAATGAGCAAAGTTTTCAGCCTAAACCTCCTGATCTGGATTGATATCATGGAAGGAATATAACTTTTTATTAATCATTTTACATGTTATTCTGTATACTGTTATTGAGTAAAAAAAATACTCTGGTTACAAAGTAGTGCTGTCATTTTTATCCTGTAATGTTCATGTAATTAGGCCAGATATTTCACAATATTTAGAGAGATAATACAAAATTAAGTATAGTTAGATTCTGTGTTTCTGATAGCTACAAAGTGTGGTCTCTTTTGCCTTGATTTTAGTCTGTCAGGTAGACTTCCTTTCAAGCAACATAAAAATCAAAGAGTAAACTCTGATAAAATCATGTCATCAAAAGCTGAAATGAATGAAAGTTCCAGTTTTTACCATAAGTCATTGTCACCTAAAGTATTATTTCTGATTACACATAAATGTAGCACAGAAACAATTATTTGGCAGCTGTACCATGACCTGACTAATTGGGCAACAACAGACTGTGAAGAAGATAAAACAAAGTGCTTGATGCAGCTTTATTAAAGACAGTTGGGAGCACTTTTCCAGATTCCTGACAGTAAAAAAGATATAATATCTTGATATAATAATAAAGCCAGAAATCTGATAATAAAGTTAGAAATTCTGAGATATTTTTATGATTTGAATTTTTTTTTTTTCATTTATTCTCTGAAATCTGCAATTTTTAGGGGTTTAGAAAGGAATTATTCTGATTTTTTTCTGCAGTCATAAAACAAATCCCTCAGATAGAAAAATATTTTTATATCCAATCGTATTTGTTTTTATGAATTGTATTTAATGTAAAACACTCACATTGTATATACATTTTTTAAAAAAAAGAAAGACGTTTATCATATATCAATTACACACATTTGTATATAGTATATTTAAATGCTTAGTTTGCTATGTTTTTGAGTGTCTTGGCACAGGAAAGTCATTGTACAGATTTCTGGTGTTTCCCATGCAGATGCTGATGAAACTTAAATCATGAGATAACTGTAAAAGATGAAATTATAACAATGTAACTTATAACACAGTTGCAGATTCATTTCTTACTTGCCTAACAGATTTATTTGTGCATTATTTATCCAGTCTATCAGGAGTCAGGTCATGTCAGGGCTGCACCTTTAAAATTAGCCCTGGACGCTCCCTCGCTCTGCGCATGCGTACTCACACTAACCCATTACCATGTCAAACCACAGAAATGAAACTGTTCCTCTGAAAACTACCTGATGAAGTGCTGAACGAGCAGGTAAACACACTCACGTTATATAAACCTGGGCAGAACTCTACTTAAATGTTGCTTACAGCGGCACAAACAGTCGTCTTCTTTCTCTTAAACAAACTTTCCGAGTTAGAGGCGACAAACATGGTTAGCTAGCAGCTAGCCGTTCGGCTAACATAACCGTCAGTTGGGCAGCTCGTTGCCACTCACTCTGTCTGGGAGCCACCTGACAACCGCTCACATGATTTTAACCGCTGCGCACAGACTGATGACATTATACAACAGGAAACCGATTGTTTTTATGTGTTTGTAGTTTGTATCGCTGGAGTGTCGCTTGTTAAACAACAAGCCACAACAACAACAACAACAACAACATGTTTGGGAAGAAGAAGAGAGCTCCGCAGCCCAGAGGCCAGGGCGCTGCTGCTGCCAAGCAGGTAACAACAACAACAACCGGCACAGATGTTTTATGTGACGTTTTCCCTGGACAGTAGCTGTCATGGTGTTATCTTTTACTTCCTGGTTTCAGATGGGTCTGTTTGTAGACCTGGACCCTGAGCAGATGATGATGGGGATGGAGGGGGATTTGGACGACCCTGACCTGGAGGCTGAACTTGCTGCTATCACTGGAAATAAAGCTGCTGCTGGAGAAAGAGCCAAACCTAAGGGGAAAAGTGAGTGCTGTGATGTATACTGCTGTAACCAGTTAATATTATTGGTCATGATTACACTAATATTTGCTTATAGCTCTGAGGGGCTTTTCCCTTGTATTTTGTGTTGTCCCCATGCCTGGTGTCAGAACTACAGCCTGACTGATACCTGGATGTTTGAGGCAGACACCAATTATAAGATTAAAGAGTTTTAAAAAATCTGATAATGATAAGTTCCCTTAAATTTGCTTATTTAAAGGTCTAGTGTGTAGAATTTACTGACATCTAGCGGTAAGGTTGCAGAGCCAAAACTTCTCCTGTGTGCCAAGCGTGTCGGAGAACTACGGCTGCTGACACGAAAACGCGAATGGCAACTGTGTAACAACATGTCGGTCTCTGTGGCAGAGGATCCACTCCGTATACAGATATAAATGGCTTATTCTTAGGTAATGAAAACGCAATAGTTTGTATTTTCAGGTGATTATAAACTACATACATATTTATGAATATTATTGTCCATTTCTGTCAATTGTTGGCCCTAAATTCTACACACTGGACATTTAATAATTGTGACTAAGACATTTATTTGGCAGGACATTTTACAGTTAAAAAAATAAACATTAGTCTCTGGTGGACAAACTACAGATTGGTGATCCTAAAACATATCATGAATTAGCAGCTGACATATTGCTAATACTGCTATATTTGCAAAAAGCTACTATTGGCCAACATAACAGCTTGGTTGATTTATTCTAGTACATCTACTATAGTATCAAAAGTGTGTGGACAACTGAGCATTACTAGTGTGATCCAGCCCTCTAACTCATTCCATACATCTAGGATTTTCTCATTGATTATTAGGCTAGAACTGTTCACCCATATGCTCTATCACCCCTCTACTGGGATGGCATTTCCGAACCATGCTCCAGGGATTTGCTTCCATTTATTCACAACAGCAGAGAAGACAAAGAAGTTGTGCACTGGTCTGACTCACAGTCGACATTTCAGTTCATCTCAATGATTTTAATGGGGTTGAGGTCGAGAGTCTCTACAGGCCAATCAAGTTCTTCTGCACCAAGCTTGAAAAACCATTTCCTCATGGATCTCTCTTTGTGCACTGGGGTTATGGTCATGTTGAAACAGGAAAGACCATCTCCAAACAATGAGTGAGGTTACATGCACACTAATAAACCGTTCATTATCTGATATCTGGAGTTACCTGATTATTCAAGTGGTCATGTAAACAGCATAATCCGATAGGCTTTATCAAATAAAAGCCATTATCTGATTATGAGAAATCAGATAAACACACCTAGTTTTTTCCCCAATAGTCAGATTATTCGGTGCATGTATACCCTTTAATCTGGTTTCTATTTTATGCTCCCACTCCACTACATTTTAGAGGGAAATATTGTACTTTCTACTCCACTACGTTAATCTGACAGCTTTTGTTTCCTTTCAGATAAAGATTTTACATAAAATAATATATTTTTATATTCTCAGTGTTTAAATTGTCACTTTTATTTTATCTTACTTATATGTTATGTTATATGTTATGCACTTTGTGTGACAAGTTTATATACAATACACTTGTATATTGCACTTTGCAGTACTTTTACTACAAATGTACCCAAAGTATGTAAAATTGGCTCCACATTGATAAACTACACATTAGAATGCTCTCACATGTATTTGTTAATGATAAAAACAAACAGTACTGTAAGAATATAAGCTGTCGGCATGATGAGTGCTTTATTCTGCAAATATATGACTTGCGTAGGTACTTTTCGAGGTTTTTCAAGGATATGAGTACCTACTGTAACAGGAAGTTTGAGTTTTATGTCATGTACTTGGGGAGAAATCCAACTGAAGGACTGAATCATGTAAACCAGGTTTTTCTGATAATCAGATTATTGAAGTGCATGTAAACACGTCAAATCGGATTATTACCATTACCTGATTATTCCCAGTTATCTGATTATTGTGCGCATGTAAACGTGCTCACTGATTTCTGTCTCCTAAAGGACTTATTACACTGTTATCTGCTCCTTTTAATCTTCTTTTTCTTTACTCCAATAAAAAAGTATGATGTTTTGAGCCCAAATTGGCTCTTTGACTGGTACAGAAGAATTAACATTAACATCAACACTACAAATAATAGTATTTTGAGTCCATTGGGAAGTACAGGTACAGTTAGAAGCGTGTATGTGGACACATTATTTTTATTCAAATGGCCACATAGCATGATTGGATACATCTAAGTTGGTAAAAACAATATGGCAAAGAAACACTTCTCCATATTTATTATCTTGGCAGAATGGTTATGGTAGTTATAGATAGACCCTGCTGACATCTACGTTATTACTGCTCTATCATGTAATATGTGTTGATAATCTCAAATACAAACCCAGCTGGATACATGGCATCATGTTTGTGTCATAGGCCCGCTGCCCATGGAAGACATCGCAAAAATGGCAGATGAGTGTATGAGAGATGTGGATGATGATGAAGATGACAGTAACCTGGAGGACGATGAAGATCTATTGGTTGGTGTTACTGTATATTTAGAACTGCTCTCATGCCAGAGTTTGTGGCTGCTTAGATTTTGAGAGTCCATTTATCAGACAAAAGAAAACTGTATTTCTTTTGGTTCCTTTTGGCCGTCAGCCACATGGTTTAAATGTCTTGTTGCCTTCAAACACTAGGAATCCTAAATGTGTCAGTCCTGTGACAAATGTAGACGATCACTGTGTATCTTTTTAGCCAGGGTTTTTATTGTTTTAGTCTCTTGGGTCACATGAAAGGCACTTCATATCAAATGATTTATTATTATTTTTAACTGGTATTTTAGTGGCTAAAAGCAAGGAAGGAAGGAAGGAAGGAAGGAAGGTAGGCGTATTCTAGTAATCCCTGAAGAGGAAATTCAATTTTTTTCACTCTGTTGTATATTCACAACCACGCACATACACAGGCTTGACACACATACCTTGTTGCAAATGCATGAACAACCACCAAGCTCCACACAATGAGAATATCATGTCTTAGTGTGTTTGTTATGCAGAACACTTCCCTGATGAATTTGCCTCTGCAGTGTTTCGTTCAAGAATGTAAATACAATAATCCTCAGAGCAATACTAGTGTCAACATGTTCAGTTTATGATTGTGTGGTGGAGGAGACCAGTGCAAAGAAATGAATGGATGTTTTCCACTTTGTTGATATAAGTGAGGACTCTTGTTACGGCGTTCTGAAGAAGCTGTCTGATCAAGTTGTTGCTGAGACTTGTAAAGACAGATGTTATAGTAGTCAAGCCTACAAAAGATAAAAGCAGTAGCACATTTTATTTTCTGAGTCCCTTAAATTCTAGATATACTGTGTTTTTAAGGTGATTGGCTGATTTTTGTAGCCACAAAGATAATATTCCTACAAAGATTTGGGGTAATTTCTCCAGCTACTGATCCTCCTTCAAGCCTAGTTAAACAACTGGAGCAGAAACCAGTTTTTCTGCAGTGCAGAGTTGAGCTGGACAGGTGCAGGTGTACTCGTAATAACCATCAGAGGTGCACTTCATTACTGGCACAGGCAATGACCGAAAAGAGAAGGAACAAAACGAAACATGACCTGGTTGGTATGTTGCCATGCATTTTAATTTAAGTATGTTGTTTATTGTTTTTTATTTATTGATTTGTAGGGCCTTCATTACACATGCACATTTTGGTTTGCAGAGCTTTCGTTTGTCAAACAACTGCCTGTTTTACGGAAAACTTATCTCACACGCTGTGCCTCTATTGAGCCTTGTGTAAGAACAGTCAAAGCTGGCTGTTGATTGGTTGCTGTATTTTTTCCCCATCAGGCAGAGCTACAGGAAGTGGTGGGTGAGGAGGAAGCTGAGGATGTTTCCTCCACATCCTCCGCCACTGCTGAATCTTCTCAAGCTGAAACACCAGAGTCGCCACCTCCGCAGGTACACAACATGTTACTTGCTGTCAGCATTGTAATTGACTCACCAGCCACCAAAATAAGAATAAGAATTTTAGCTATTGCCAGTAACAGGAAAGGGTAGTTGTATTTGTCCTCATTGCCTGCTGCTGGTTTACAAATTTAGCTGGTGGTTTTAGTCTTAAATCACCTCAGATCTTTTTATAGTATAGTCACATCTCCTAACAATAGTCATTTACTTAATAACATGACTGGTTGAATCTTTCTGGTAAGTTTCTGCATTTCTGTAAACACATTTCCTGACACCTATCTCACCTGTGTCTGGGTCTCCTTGAAGTAGTTTGTGTGACTAGTTTTTAAACCAGTGATCAAAGGTGAGATATAGATCTGTTGAAACTGCAGCATTTTTCCTCCCATTATTTATCTGTGACAAATACTTTCTCAACCCACAGTTCTGAGTAATTTCTTACAGCGTAGATTCACCAGCTGTTTTCTGATAATGTTGACAGTATCTGTATGTTGTTATGGTAAAGCAGCCGGAAGTAAAGGTCCCCTCTGCAGCTCCTGACACTCTTCAGCATACACTGGAGGAGAGAATTGTCATGTACAAGACGGCCTTACAAAATGCTAAAACTGCAGGGGAGACCTCCAAAGCCCGGAGATATGAGCGTGGCCTGAAGGTGAGTGAAACTACCAGCTCGTGACAAGATATATGATCAAGGTGCAGAGTCACAGCAGTGTTTTAATTATGAACTATTGTCTGTCATAGTTAAAATATGGGATGGGATTTTGAAATGGATTGAATTGTTGGCACCATTTATAAAAGGATCTTAACCTGTAACCAGTGTCTTTAGTATGGTGAATAAATACTTTACCAATGCTTTGAGATCAGTTAAAATGTGAAATATCCTGCCTGTTTGGTAATAAAGGGTTAAAGTTCTAAATGATATAATCCATTCATAAATGCTCCATGGGTCTCTCACTCTCTAATAAGCTGTCAAGTCTGTACTTACAAATGTTAATGTTATTAATAAAAGGTTTAAATAATAATCAAGTCTGCAGTTTTAAATGTTAATAAGGTGTTCATAAATGATTTTTTTACAACCCAAATGTTTAGCTCATCAATGCCTTTTAATGAATCTATAAAAGCATCAGTAAATTATTAACTAACCAATTATAAAGCCATTAATTACAACTTAAGAACCCTTATTAAAGCCTTGCTAGAAATTGGTAACCATGTGTTTTATTAATTATGAATAAGGAACATTTACAAAATCAAACTTCAAATACTAAAAAATGTCAGCTGGAAATGTCACAACATTTAATATGATAATCAGCGTTTCACTGTTTCACGTAGCACAGACATAAGTGTAGTACCTCTGTGTTGAGAAGCTTTTCAAGTTTTTATTTTATTACCAGTTATTTTAATGGTCTACTGCTATTCAATTTCCAAACATACGTTTTATATTTTAAGAGAAAAAATCAAAGCAGTATTTCAGCTGAAAACAATTCCTTAGTGAAGGCCTCTTCTTTAAATCAGTGAGCAACAACACTAAACATGCCCAACAGCTACAGATTCTTACAATCTTTAGGTATTTACATGTCTGATCACATTGTTCAGCTCCCTTAAGGACGACATTTTGCTGTTTGTCATCTTTTAAATCAGTTCTCAGGGCCAATAATTTATGATATGTACTTATTGTCTTGTTATATAGTTTATAATTTGTGCCTGAAATCACTGGACTGCAGTCATGCAGGTGCAGATGATACTGACTGTTCATTTTGCTCTCTGCAGAATCTGGAGTCAATGTTAGCTGCTGTTAAAAAAGGGAGATCTGTGGACGAGGCAGGGATCCCCCCTCCTGTTGCCACTGGAGCCCCAAGTGCCGCGCCTCGTCCTGCTGTTCCCCCTCGACCTGCTCCCCCTGTTCCCTCACCTCCTGAACCCACTCCTTCAGATCAGCAGGGGGAGTCAGAGGCCACAACGCCACCGCCTGCTGTACCAGAGATCATCACCCCTGGCGGTGAAGAGGAGCAGTTGGCCCCCACCACCCCGCCCACTCTGAGCACCATCCCATCTCCAGAGGAGCCAACAGAGGAGCCTGCCGACCAGCCTCAGACCAGTCCAACAGATGGTCTGTGTGATTTGGATTATACAGTTACATTGATTATGAAATTGGGTTAGATCAACAAAATAAAACCCTGCCGCGTGCGTTTCTGCACCAAGAGAGCCCCATCCCTGTGTACTTTATAGTAATCAAACAGAAATTAACAATTACATGCGTGTATCAATAAATTCAGTATAACAAAGCTTGTAGGTGAGAAAAAAAAAATTAAAAATATTATAATTGTTAAAATTGATATTAATAATGATAAATAAGTAGTAAGAAAAACAAACAAAAAAATCAAATAAAATCTAAAAGTTACAGATAAATAAATATTAAATATAAATATTTTTTGGCCCTAAATTTGAGACCAGTTGGTTAGATGATGGGGTTGTTAAGCTTAATAATCCACAAATAAACTTCATTAGATACTTTAATCTATAATTTGATTTCTTATTCTGTATTCCAACACTCTGCGTATAACACACTGACACACTGTTATAGGAATTAAGTCACAGGCAATGTAAATTCTAGGCCTCCTCATATTTATCGGTAATGGTAACACATTACCAGATTGCATGTGAAATTCTTTTTTAGTACCAATCTGATTTTTTTTTTTTTTTTTTCCCAGTGGCAGGTATATTAAATTGTCGACGCACAGAGGGTGTCTTCTAGCTTCTCAATAAGTGATGAATGTGGCCTTTCACTGTGGTAATTGTTGTGTGTTTCTGTCCGCGTGATCTACAGCCAACGAGGCAACCAAGACTTTGCTTTTGGAGAGGCAGAAAGAATACAAGATGGCAGCACTGAGGGCCAAGAAGCAGGGAGATCTGGATCAAGCTAGGCTTTACTTCAAGACCAGCAAGGTGAGTACAAAGAGGACAACCACAAATGTCTGCTTTTAAACCAAGACAGAGGCCCCTGTACAAAATCTGTAACAACAGCGTTGTGTTTTATATAAATTTGAATCTCCTACAAACAGGTTTCTCTGTTGTGTGCCAGCATTGGTATTCTTACTGAATACTATGATTTTAACACAGTGTCAGGAAATTAATGATGACGAATAGAAGAACCATGACAAATTTTGAAACACATGAACCAATTTAGAAATTTTTAATGTCTCCGATTTAAAAACAAATATATATTTAAAGTTAATTTGCTAACATGCAGTTACACATAACTATTTGAGCTGTCGGAGTCTCTTGCTGCATATTCTGACTGGACGATTTCCCTCTAAAGTATGTGAAACATGCCAACAATTTGGAAGAAGACAAAGACCATCATTATGTTTGACAGAGTTGGTGGTTTGTTGTATTTTTGGTGCAGAGGTTCGATGCTGTGATTGAGGCGTTGGAAAAAGGACAAGCAGTCGACCTAAGTGGCCTTCCTCCATCTCCAGGACAGGGTGAGGAATGCTGCTATAACAGGAAATAAGTGTATCACACACAACAAACTCATTTTATACAGTTCTTTTTAAAACATGGAGGAATGAAAGGTTAAGGGGGAAATATCAGAGTCAGAAGAGGACAAGGAAAAGACAAAGTTTTGCTGATTTGGCTTCTTACTCCCACTCTTTGAGTCCAATGCCCAGTGTCAGCTGGAATCAGCTCCAGCCCCCACCCCTCCTCATAGCCCTGAAGTTTCAGATTATGGAAGGATGGATTTTACCGGACAGAAACCTGCTATATCTGCTTCTGTATGTTCAAAATGTTGTTTTGTTTTAGGTCCAGGAGGAGGCTCTGCTCCAGTGAAGGAACCTACTGCTGGGCAAAACGTAGAAGTCACCCAACCGGTTGCAGCAGCTCCAGGTATTAATAATTTCAACATTCTGTAACTGTACTTCACTTGTGCTGTTGTGGTGGCACAAGCTTCTTTTTGACCAGTCATGCAGTTGTGTTTCCAATTCTCCCTTATTTCTCTTAACATAATTCATATCAACCAGCTAATGTCAAACATTGATACTTTTTGACGACCAACCAAATAACCTTCACAGCTCTGTATATATTTCTTCAGTCAAATACTTTCTGATTTTATTTGGCAAACTTCTTGAACAGCGCATTGTGTTAAGACAGCACTGATGCATCTAGAGGTTTAACTTATTTTGTTAAATGATGAAAGGATTTTGTAGAAGAAGTATTAAAAATATATATATATAACTTCAGTACCTGCCATTTATCAGGCATAAGTATTGAAACATTTAAAACAGTACCCCACTTCAGCAGCACGCCACGAGGGATGGCACTGTTGGTTCCTCCACCACTATGCCATGAAAATTGGTACAGATAGTCAAGGTCTCATGAGGATAAATTCTACTGAATTTGGTGATCCCCTGATATGTCATTGAGTGCAGTCACCAGGTCAAAATTTCAATTTGTTGAGTACTTTGGTGTCTGATTAAATATCTGCAAAACTACTGACACTCCCATCAGCCTCAGCTGTACTTAGTGTTGAGTGCTAATTAGCAAATATTAGCATGCCAGCAAATTAAACTAAGATGATGAACAGGATATATTTCTACCTACTAAACGTCAGCATGTTAGCATTGTCATTTAAGCATTTAGCATTTAGCTTAAAGCTGTGGGTCCTCATTAAATAAATATCCTAACTGCCTGTCCTATCTTAACTTAAGTTTTAAAGATCGAAAAAAAAAAACCTGTCTTCCTATCACAGAAGCAATTCCTAAACTCATGGGCATGTCCCATCATGTCTTAGACATCTTATGTCAACTTGAGAAATCCTAACTATAACTGTAAATTAGATTTTTTTTTAATCAGCACTCGTCCTGTCATGCCTGTATCTTTGATTAGAATGTACCGGCGGTAGGCTCCTTGAGACGGACAAGACATCATATTGACGGCTCTCACTTGTCACTGGTCAGCTGGCTTACTGTCGTGGACAAAAAAAGTTGCATTCAATTTTAGTTAAGAGGAGTTGGAGGCACTAATCTGCAGTTGATATACATGGTCTGAGAAATTTAAAGTGTAATGGGTTTGAGTTGTCTTTCAGATATTATATTTTGGTGTTCATGTTGTTCCCCATCTTAATTGTCTTTGTCATACAGACCTGATAACAGTGCTGCTGCCATTTTGGCAGTTATTGTGAATGTAGGACAGGATGTATGTCTTCCTAATTCAGGATTACTAACTTGGGAAATTCTAAGTTAGGACAGTTCTGTAACATTGAAATCCTATTTTAAGATGCAATTGGAAAATCTGTTTCTGTAATACCCATAATCCTAAATGCTATCCTAAACAGACATTAGATAGGATTCAGATGCAGGACATTTCTGTAATGAGACCTCTGATGTCTCCTAAAACTGCCTCACAGTGTGGCTGTAGACTCATAATCTTGTTTAATAATATTAGCTTTGAGGTAAAATCTCACAATAAAAGAACAAAAAAACACGTATCTAGAAACTCTTTGTAAATGCTGTGGCCTCTCTCCCTCAGCCGCTGCACCCCCATCAGCCCCTGCAGCTCCCAAAGATGTGTTGGAGGCTCTGGAGCAGAGACGAGCCAAGTATGTGGAGGCGTCCAATCAGGCCAAAGCCAGTGGAGATGATCGCAAGGCCCGAATGCACGACCGTATCGCCAAGGTATAAGACAAAAGACTCCTTCCGATGTCTGTATCTACCTTTACAGAACTCTTCTGCTAAAACTGTTGTCAGGCTTCATCTTTCTACATGATTATGTTTCAGTTACAGGTGTCATAATAGAATGAAGCTGAAACATTATAAGCTTACAGCTCCTTTTTTCAGTTAGTTCTTCTATATAGTGTATAGCCAGTTATTTTAAAGACAGCATGACAACAGTAAAACTACTGACAATAATGGCACTATTCTCAATAACATTTTTTGTACTTTACAGCAACACATTCTTCCCTTACAGCATCACATCAGCATAAGCTGAGCTGTGAAATAATATTTCACCTCTCTCCTTCTGCAGCAATACCAGAGTGCCATCCGAGCTCACAAAGCAGGAAAAGCGGTCAACTTTGAGGAGCTGCCGGTGCCCCCTGGTAAGACTCTTTTGTCATTCATGTTTTTGAGTTGACGGTGTAATTTCCAAGTCACATTTAGCTCCGTAAAATTGGATTTGAATTGCCATTCTGGGTCTGTTGTCCTGGGGTGCTACTGTGAACTGTGTCACTGTGAAAGCCTTCAGTGAGTCTGTATCAGCTACATAAGGACATGTTTTTGTACTTGACAGAGAGAGTAAAACTAGAATGTGGTGTTTAAGATATGTGATGCCAGTCAGAATGACAAATTTGCTTATGTTTCTCAGGTTTTCCTCCAATCCCAGGCCTGAAAGCTACGGGGGCTGAGCAGGGACTCATTGCTGCTCTGCAGGCAGCCGATAAGCTCGCCTCCACTGATGCTACCGAAGTAGCAGATGAGGAAGAAGATGAAAAGGAGGAGGAGGTTGGTTATCAGCTGCACATTATAATGTTTTATACGTATTAGTGGATAAATTGTTGATACCCTGTTTTGTGTTTGTTGCAGTTGAAGCCTGCTGTTCCAGAAGAGCCAAAGAAGATCACGTTGGATGTCCCCACCCCAGGTCAAGGAAGGAAAAGGTCTCCGTCAGCCTCACCTGACAGGACATCTGCCAGAGAAGGACTCTCACCAACAGGTCAGTCCCTAAAAGGATGCATGTCATCTAAAACCCCAACACTATTTCATTTCTGTGACAATTAAAGAGAGAGATAACCCTTTAAGTACATAGTTGTTTACAGTCTGTTTACTTTCTGACATTCTTCGTCCTGCAGCGGTTCAGCAACTGGAGTTTCTGGAGGGCAGGAAGAAGCAGTACATGAAGGCGGCTCTGCAGGCAAAGCAGAAGAACGACATGGAGCAGGCCAAGATCTTCCTCCGCACCGCCAAGGGCTTCGAACCCATGATCGAGGCAGCGCGCAGCGGCAAGTCTGTGGACATCAGCACGGTGAGCAGACGGGTGATTCACTCTGTGTCACAGCTTTATTTATTGAGGTTCTTTACCTTGTGGAAGGAACTGTTTGTGTTAAAATGGCAACATCTTGCTTGTGAGAAATTAGATTTTTTTCTGATTAATGTTGTAGCCCTAGAATATGTCAAGTTTTTTATAGAACAACGTACTTTGAACTTGATGAGAAGAAAGTGATTTAAAAAAATATATTCAGAGATTGATTGATGCCTCTTGTCCTGTAATGTGATGCACCATTATTTTCAAATTTTGTGTGTCTTCATGTGCTTGATGCAACCCGATTTCAAAATCAGTTAGGATTTTAAAACTCCTGTAGTCTGAGCTCAGCCTTGTATGTCACAAGTGCCAAAAAGACTTCTGCAATGGATACACCTTTGCACCTTCTCTCATACCTTCTCTGCTAAGCCTCCTCTCACTTCGTTTATTTCCTTGAGATGCATTTTAGGAAAACTTGCACACAAGATGGTGCGCTTGGTCACAGGCAGGAAGACGGAGGAAGAGGAGACAAGGAGGCACGGAATTAAGAAATAATAGAGCTCATGGAGGCCTACTGTGGTTGATGCTCTCTGTGCTGTTCCCCGTAGGTGCCTTCGCCCCCTGGTGACGAAGATGACGACTTCATTCTGGTTCATCACAGTGACGTGCAGATCTCAGAGAAAGCAGAGCAGCTTTACGCACAACTGGCCAAGATCCTCAAAGAGCAGTACGAGGTAAAACTGCAGGGCTACAGATTATCATGTTGTCGTGTTCACTGTTCTTAATTAAAGTTTTTATTGGTATATCTCCTTAATTAGTTTTAAATGAATGCATTTCAATATTTTTTTTTCTCTTTACGATAACATTTTAATCATACGAGTAAACTTCTTGTTTGTTCTTGATGTTCAGAAATCCGATGGCCTTGGAAAAACGTTCTCTAGAATCCAACATATATATAAGTTTCCAAATGAATTCTGATGCCAAAAAAGCATTTGTGTTTCTATTCCCAGTCTGGTTGTTCTACACTGTTCTTGTTATTGCTGTGAAGATGAACATTTTCCTTGAGATGTCTGAGATTTCGTCTTCCTCTTCATCCTTTTTAGAAATGCATGACTCACTCCAAGCAGTTCACACACCTGGGGAACATCACGGAAACAACAAAGTAAGCTTCCTGTGTCAGAACAATACACACAAGCTCCAAACTCAGTTATAATGCCAGACTTTATTCATCAATTAATAAATCTGATTATCTATTTAGATCAAATATAGAAAATATGATTAAATAATTATATTTCTTGTCTGAATTTTTGTGTCTTTGATTGTATACCTGAATATTTAGATGATAAAATATACAGTCAATAACAGCATGATGTGCTGATGCGTGCATGCTCTTCAGGTTTGAGAAGATGGCGGAGAGATGTAAGAAGAGTCTGGAAATTTTGAAGCTGGCGCAGTCGAGAGGTCTGCCTCCTCCGAAACATCACTTTGAGGAGAGATCGTTTCACACTGTCAGGTCGGTTTTGCGCTGCAAAAGTTCAACTAAAGTTTCATACATTTTTTTTATTTTTTATTATTCCAACAAATTCTGTTTTATTAGTTATAAAAGTAAAAAAAAATATAGAAACTGGCAGTGCCTGGGTTAAAGTAAAAGATGCTTTGTTTAAATAATGAAAATGTTGAAATATATACACACCCTGGTCACTTTATTAGGTACATGTCTGCAACAATGTAATGCAGTTTTAATTAAATTATAATGTTAGGAGAGGTGTCAGTTTGACTATATGTTTAAGGTCTCATTAGTGGCGGTGTTGTAGTTTCTAATAATCTTCCTCTCATGTTTGTAAAAGGCTGGGCAAAAAGTCAAAAACCCCTCTCAGTATAATTCAGTTCAATTCAACATCTCTGCAAACTTCTACCTGAATGAGGCTGTGACGTTCAGACTGACAGCAGCCCCACATTGCTGCTGTTACCCTTCATGTGCTGCGTTGGCTAGTCAGTTACAAGCAAGTGTATATTCCTGGCAGATGACTTTGCAACGTGAACACCATTTTTCTATTGCATACCTCATGATCATTGCCAGAAAAAATAAAATATTTGCCACTGTAAAAACTTTACAGAGTTGTAAAATCCTGACCATGAGGATTACAAACCATTGTTCAGTGATCTGCCGTCTGATAAACCTTTAAATGTATTAATTAGTATTAAACAGTTGCTTTTCTATAAGCATAAAGGAATTATACAAAAATATAATAAAAGAAGTATATAAAAATATATGCATTATGCTACAGTGTATGACAAATGTGTAACTAAACATGATTATCTATGTAAAGGTAGAATGTATTGCCAGTGTGTATGTTTGATATATTACAGCCTCACTATAGAGCACGGTTTGTATTCCCTGTGGTGCACTGAAATGTGCCGGGGTGGTATGTATAAATTGAGATGTGCCTTGATATTTTGCTCAAACCTAAAGTAACTGTCAAACTTTTTTTCCTTTTTTGCGCGTCAATTAGAAGCCAAAGCAATAAATCTTTTTTCCTCTTCTTTTTTTAACTTACATTCTGTCTTCCCCTCTTCTTTCATTCCCTTTCAGGATATTTCCAGACCTGAGTAGCACTGACATGGTTGTTATTATCGTGAAAGGGATGAATCTTCCTGCTCCTAGTGGTAAAAACAGAAGTCTTCACCTATCAGTCCTCACATACAGCACAGCAAGTCCACATGGTGTTTTATAGCTTTAATTTTAGAGGCTTCTAGATGATGGTTTTCATGCTTCATTCTTCTCTGTGTTTGAAGCCCTGCTTTGAGAGTCTAAAATAGAGGTTGCTGTGACCTTTATGTCATTATGACCTTTTTTTTTTTTTCTTACCAATTTATTGTTAAAACCTTCACATTCAATCAAGATTATAAGGTCTAAATAATCTAAACATTGCTTGATGCTTTGTGATACACTCCATTTGTCCTTCAGGGATTCAAACAAACGATCTGGATGCATACGTCAAGTTTGACTTCCCCTACCCCAGCTCGGTAAGAGACTCGAACTACAGCAGCTCGTTTCCATGTTCACAGCCACCACAGGCTGCTGAGATTGTTTAAACAGGTGACTTCTCTCCTTAAAGTGTTTGGTTTGTGTTTTGTTTCCACCAGGAGCAGCCACAGAAACACAAAACAGCTGTCATCAAGAACACTAACTCCCCAGGTGAGACATATGCTTCGCTGTAGATTTGTGGTCATATATTTGTATCAAGAAAAAGACTAAGTGTCTTAAAATAATGAGAAACAATACTAGCTCATTATATCCAGAAAGTTTCTCAGTGTAGGGACTTTACAAGATCTTTTTTTTTGATATTCATCCACTTTATAAATTTAGTTTACAAAAGATTTTTTTAAGTAATGAATTAAGAAGTTCACATCGTATGTGTCTGGAGAAGGCTGCATTTGTTCATCTGTGACCTCTCTTAAACCAGAATATAACCAGAGCTTCACCCTGTCAATCAACCGTAACCACCGCGGCTTCAGGAGGGTGGTGAACTCTAAAGGCCTCAAACTGGAGCTGCTGCACAAAGGGTGAGTCACCGACAGCTGCACACAATACAGGACGATGACCTCTCTCGTCTTCAGTTTGGTAATTGACCACAGCAGCAGTATGAGATCAGCGGATGTGGTGCCGTGTTTTTTTTAGGAATGAGTGGCTCAAACCTCAAAAGTCAAAGCTTCTTTAATGCTATAAAACATGTAAAACCACAGGGGAAGGTTCTTAAAGTTTGGACTCCTACTTTTAGTTTTATGTACAAGCTGGTCAACAAACACTAACAAGTAAACAGATGAAAGCCAGTGAGTGATCTCAGAACTGCATTCACGTCTGAGCAGCTGTGTGCTGTTTAGTGTTGAGACTGTGGCAGTGATGCTGTCGCTGTGTGTCGTCTCACAGCGGCTTCCTGCGGAGCGACAAGCCGATCGGGACGGCCCTCGTAAAGCTGGAAAAACTGGAGTCACAGAGTGAAATCAGGGAGATCGTAGAGGTGAGTGAGATTTTAAAAAAGGACACCATAAAACAAAGCTAGTCAAGAGAGATGGAGGCACATGAGTCTTGTTATCTAAGATGTTGACAGACAGAATGAATATTGGTAACTTCAAACCTTGTGTCTCTGGTGTCAGGTGATGGATGGGCGTAAACCCACAGGTGGTCGTGTTGAAGTGAAGGTCCGACTGCGAGAGCCGCTGAGCGGGCAGGACATGCAGACGAGCACCGAGCGCTGGCTGGTGATCGACCCTTAACAGGTAATATTAACGCTGGGTTTTTTTATGCCACCATGCTGGTGATAGCAGTGGCTGGAGGCGTTTTGGTTTCAAGTTTTGTCCGTCCCATTCTTGTGAATATGATTGCTCAAGAAGGCCTTGAGAGAATTTTTTCAAATTTAGCACAAACGTCCACTTGGACTCGACGATGAACTGATTAGAATTTGGTGTTCAAAGATCATTGTTTCTGGACTGAACTCAAGAATTCATATGTAATTATGACAAAATTTCCGTACGAATGTCTAACAGGATAATATGGTGAAGTGATGACATTTTATATCCAACAGGTCAGAGGTCAGCTTCACTGTGACATCATAATGTTCTGCAAAATCACTTTTCTGGCCATTAATTAACATCATGTCTCAGGAACAGAATGGGAGACAACTGGACAGATGCTGAATTGATGACTCTAATCTTGAGTGTGAATCTTCTGTGCTGCCAGGGGGAAGATGTGTGTGAAGCATCCATGTTTTAGAATTTGTAGCTTCTTTGCAGCAGCATACATATTTGTTGTCATGGCTGACATATGAGTCTGGAATCACATAGATGTAAACTGTTACTGCAAATTGAACCGTTTACGGAGGCATACAGCTGCTTTGTAGTACTTCTAGTTTTTTTTTTTGTTTGTTTTTTTCTTACTTTGAGTAAGTACTGCAGCTGCTTTTACAAAGTAGATACTGTTGCATACAGCTGAGACATACAACTTCGTCATAACAATAGTTGCTGAACATTGACCTTGCTTAAAAAAAAAGTCACAAAAAGAAAAATAGTTTGTAGACATGAATGCGCCATTATCTGTCATTTCGGTGTCTGTCAGCTGTCAGCAGCTCAGTCGATATGACGTATCTTCCACTGTGCAGAGGATTGTGGGTCAGAATAGTCAGAAAAACATGTTTGTATACTGGAAAATGGACATCCTGGTATTGCTGGCATACTGCATTTGACATACTGTGACATACTGAATCCTTTTCTGGCATAAATAGGTTTTGGAATGCAGGTCTTATATTCAGTGATAATATTTTTGCAGCATTGTTATCACGAAAGACAAAGCTAAAGTTATGTAAAAGCATCTGATGTTAATTATTTTTTATCTCCAAGGTTGTTGTTTAGATGCTGCTGAAAGACTGACGATGATTCACAAGATAAAAGGTAATTTTCTTCTTTTGGTGTCTGAACTGAGCTGAATGAAGTGAAATATTAGAAAAAGGACATTAGCTCATTCACTGTCTTGCTGAGGGTTAGATGAGAGGATCGTATGTCTGTATGATAAATATGAAGCTGGGTGTATTTGATTCACCTGACCGATAACAACCTCTCTGTCTTGCAGATTAAAGGCCCTCAATCATAAACACTCGGAGGATAGAGTTTGGGATGTGAAGAGGACAGTCTGTTGTTCAGAGTCAACTCAGACCTACACGGGTCTTTGACTTGTTAAAACTTTTGCACATTTGCAAGACACAAGAGCTCCCTTTCACACTGCGGTCCACCAGGAGGAGACAGGGAGCTGGTTTATGGTAGGTCAGCTGGTCCATTTGTCTTCAGTATGACACCAGCTGATGGACAAATACTTGTTGTCTAAATGGAGGGCAGGGTTGCTCTCTTGTTTGGTGATTCACACAGATGGGATGCAGATGTAAGCTTGTGATGCAGCGGGGCAGACTTGTGGGCAACAAGGTGAAGGCTCCTTGAATCAGAGAAAACTATTCAGGCAATGATCACTGGGTGCTTTTCATTATGCTAACTTACACGTCCTCTTTGACACGGATCATGGAGAATCTTCCAATCCCTTAAATGCAACTTGAGGAGAGAAGAGGCTTCTGGAGGAGCTTAGAGCGAGGAAACGCATATATATAAACGCCTCACCTCCACATGTAGCACAGTCGCTTCAGCATGATGCTATGGAACCAAGGGTTTCTCTTTTGCCTGCTTTGGCTCTTCAACTTTGCTGGGAGGAGCCAAACCATGAGGAAGAGACACGTTAGCGTAGTGAAAAGCACTCTTTTTTCCCAAGAAGCCTCCTTGCGCATCACTCCATCTCCTGGAGGACGTCCGGCAGTGTGTGTCTCTGCTAAGGGACTCGGTGTCGAGCTAACCTGATCCTGCTGCCCGGCATGACTTTAGATAATATATCAAAGAATGTGTACATATTCCTCATATTATTACAGCTCTGGTATCTAGAACTGCACCTATGCACTAATACCAAAGTAATCACTGTTGCTGTAAGATCCTGCATATTTGAAGTCGCCCTTTAGCTGCCAAACCTGTTACGATGAAATGAGAGCTCAGGAGAGTTTAATATGTGACGGGACTTTATTTTAAATTATTTTTCCCCTCACAACTCATCTGGTTTTCAGTGTGAGAACGCAGGCGGATGCAGCAGCACCCCTCAATTATGTTTTAAAGGAGTAAGCCAAGAAATCATGATACTACACAAGGTACGATTATGTAATCATTTTAAAGACCACACTCCGATTTTTGGCACCTTTCACTTTGAATAGTAAGTCCTCTAACTGTGGTCACTAAACTGCACACTCACATATCTTTGGCTTTAGGTGTGTTAGATTTATTTGTTGTTTACACTTAATAGCACAAAGCAGTGCAGACTCACAACTGAGTTTAGTTTAAGAAGCTAAATGTTAATGTTATTTAAAGGCAAACATTATTCACATACGGTGGTTAAAAGGTCATTTATAAGTAAACATGATTGGATGAGTAAACTTTGATAGTATCCTGTACATATTTTAGTTTAAGGAATAGTTTGACCTTTGGGAAAATACACGTATTAGCTTTGTTGCTAAGGTCGATGAGAAGATTGATACCACTCTCGTGTCTGTCTTTATTATGAAGCTACAGCCAGGACACAATTAGCTTAGCTTAGCATTAAGACTAGAAACAAGGGGAAACAGCTAGCACAGCTCAAAGTTCAAAAATTCATCTCTAAAGCTCATTAATTCACAAGACTTCTGTTGTTGTTGCTGTTTCCCCCCGCTTCCAGTCTTTGTGCTAAGCTAAGCTAATGACCCCCTGATGCTTCTCATCAAAATCTGGATAAGAAAGTGATCAAGTGTATTTCCCCAAGTGTCGGATGAATCCTTTAAATGTGGTAACTACCTTATACAGCTATGCATCAGATCCTGAATCCTTCATTGTTTTAAAGGGCCAGTTCACCTAAATTATATAAGAATTTATATTTTCTTATTTATTGTTGTGATATCAAGCAGTGCAGACTGAATATGTTTTGTGCTGCTCAGAGATTTGGAAAATGAAATACCTAACAGCAATGTTGAGATGGAAAGCTGATTTTTGACCTGGGAAATTGAAACTAGGGAAAAATAGTTGGACAATAATTAACTTTCAGTCTCAGCTTTGAGCCAACATGGAGAATTTATCCTTAAAAGTGCCTGGAAAAATGGAAATTTGAACATTAACGCTGTTCAAATGTTTTGAACAGCTACTAAATTGACCTCACAGGGAGACTGTTTTGTCTGTTAACATGCATTTTCATAAATATAAAGTCCTGTAAAGTAGTTTTATTGGAGTAACTTTCTACTGAAGATTTAATCCTGAATGAACGCTGCTGGTTTGAGTTATAAAGGTAATCAGATCATTTCTGAAAAGATACGATGCTGTTAAAGGTTTAAAGTTTTCTGTGGTGATAATTTGAGTGAACTGACCCTTCAAAGGTTTCATGCATAGGATTTAGGGGCATCTATTGGCAAACATGGAATATAATCTCACAAACATGTTTTAATTTGTTAATAATCACCTGAAAATAAGATTTGTTACCTTAAAATAAGCTGTTTATATCTGCACACGGAGCGGGTCTGCTTCCATGGAGTCAGCCATTGTGTTCTATAGTAGCCCAGAAGGGACAAACCAAACACTGGCTCTAAATGGGGCCATTCTGCAACCTCACCACTAGATGCCACTAAATCCTTCACACTCAACCTTTAAAGTTTTAACTGCAGCATTGTGAAAAATGCTCCACAAGAAGCCATAACAAACACACTGAGTCAACTACATCAATACATTTCCCAACATGTTTACCTCAAAACTGTCTGTAACATTATTACGTTACTGTGGTCACAACATTTCTTTGTTTCTCCATTTGAGGAAAAACATCATCAATCAATGCAGCGTTAATATAAAACATTGGCATAAATATTAACAACACTGTTACCCATCATTTTATTTTCTGTTTAAACATACTTGTTTACAAAGATCGATGATGTCATGTTGTTTATATTTACAAAATGATAATCTCTGTAATAATAATCCCAAAAACAGAATTATGGCTATATTTTGTTTTTAATTGAAGACTGAATTTGCCTACCCTGCTTAAAAATGTACCAATTAAAAAATATCTGGTTTTAATTTTTGAATGTCAAGTATTTTCTTTCAGGTAAAAAACAACAACTAAGCACTCAACTCAATTTTGTATAAGTTTTTATTTTACATATACTACAGTTTTTTTGATAAAGACCACTTTTCTTGACATTTGTAAGTGTAAAGAAAAAAAGATGTACAGGGTTTTTGGCTTTTCAAACATTTTTGACTGATGTTTATTTAAAAAAAAAAAAAAAAAAAAAAAGAATTTATATTTAACAAAACCCAGTCAATGACAGAACTGAAGGAGTGGATTTTTTTTTCTTTAAGTTTCATCCACAAACTAGAAGATATAACTGTTAAAATGTAAAGTTGATTTTGCTCTTTCACCGTTTCAAGCTTGTTTGCATGCAGTGTTAAGTTTGGATAGTAACATCTTACAACTGAATACAAAAAGAAAATGCTACTTTTTCAGTCAAACAAATTGCACCTTTTTCTTTTGGATTCAGGACATATTGCACACGTCAGATAACGTCAAAACAAAAGATAACAGAAAACAGGAAGTCAGAAAAATAAATCCTCATGTCTCCTCTTCATTAATGCTAATTTATAAAAACAGAACTGCCGGCAACGGCGGCGGCTGATGAACGTCACACAGTGAAGACACAGTGATTGAGATACACCAACTCTGGTATGATCACAGTAATAAACCCAGAACTGGTGACCTTTTGACCTCTCAGTCAGTCTTTACTGAACATTTTAAATCGGCTTCACTAACATTACTTTGCTACAGTAGCTCCTAAAATACTTCAAATTGAGTACTAAACGAATACAGAACAGCTACGGGTCTAATTTAAACTGGTCGAAGCGTCGGCTCGTCTGCAGATTTTCATGTGATTGTCTGATTCTCACTTGTGATGACGAGATTGTGTTTCTCTGATGAAATGCTTCAAAAAAACCTCTCGTACTGTGTCTACAGCACTTTTTTGTGTAGCCCCTTCTGGTTTTATATTAGCATGTTCAAAGATGGAGAAGTCGCCATAATGCAGAATGATTACTGTACAGAGCATTTTGACGTGACAGGGTGGTTTTTGGTGATTAGTCTAACCAGAGACAAAACACACATTTTGCAGATTTTGAACAGAAATAGGAGGAATACATTCTTATATTTTTTCCAGGTCCATGTAGCTGAAGGAGAGCACAGTCCAGAGCAGAGAGAGACGGGCTGCAGTGATCTGTTTACAGATACAGTTAAAACAGTTTAGGCCTTTTGAAGACGACGGATCAGCAATCTGCAGGGTTCCCACGCAGGTCCGAAAAGTTTTGAAAAGTCTGGAGCGGGATGTTCATGATTTCAGGGCTTTGGGAGGACGAGAAGTTGCAGGGAAATGTGAGATGAAATACATTCAGCTTCAGGTCAATCAAACTTGTTTCTGCAGGAACCCCGAATCTTTACACACACTGAATTTTTCTTTTCTGCTGTTAAAAACAAAACAAAAAAAACGTCTTCCAGGACACAGCAGCAACACTGACGCTCACTTTCGCTCTCCTGTTAATGGCTTAGAATCCAGTGCACTGCTTCTGCAATTTAATACAGTTCTTATGTATATATATATCTTTACATCTTCAACACTTATTCTCTTTAAAATAACTCGAGTGATTATTTCCAACCACCGCAGGACAAACAACAAGCGCTGATGATGCTGAAGCTGATGAAGTGATTGATGAGATTTAAAAACTGATTTCCCTCTTCAGCCTTATGTACAGATTGAGTTTATCAATAAAGCATTGGAACCTTTTTTTTTTTAAATCATCTGTCTACTGTAGGACAAAAAAAGGGCATTTTGTAATCTTATTTCACAGAGCGTCAGTCAGAGGAGTCCATGACAGTCGCTTCAGTAACACTGTCTTTAAACTAGGATCTCTGGAGGCTACAGATGCAGAGTTAGGATGAAGTAATTATGCCTACAAAAATATGTACAGCAGGTTAATGGATTTATCCATGAATTAAAGCATCTGGTGATTGATGAGTAAAGCTTAAAGAGAAGTGAAGCTGAAATGTCTTTTCTTAATCACTTGATGAGTCGCTGCTGCAGGCACTGAGCACCATGGTGCAAAAAACAAAAAACAAACTAAACTCGCCACACAGACACACCCTCCCACTCCTCATCTGATAATTTGTAATTTCCTTTTTAACGTAACTTCAGAGGAACAGCCCAGGCTTTTCACTGGTGGATATGAATCTCCCTCGTTTATGAGCATCCGTGCTACACAGAGGCCACAGAGTTCAGTGCTTCAGGACCCCCCGACTGCCACAGTGACACTGGAGTGACGAGTGAGCGACATACAATGCCTATAATTAAGTTTTCACCCTCCTTGGAAGTTTAATTGTGTTACAACACTGAATCAAAGAAGATTTAAAGTGGTTTTCTCACACTGACAAACAGAAAGAGATCCTTTAATGTGGAAATATCTCTTCAGACTGATCCAAATTTTATATATAAATAAGCAGTTTCGATACCCATTTTCCTTCTATCGATACACCGGTACCGGCTGTGTATTCTTCCTCTCTCGTCATTCTGTCCTCTGCTACTATCCAAGTAAAGATGCTGTCAGGTTCTAGCATTGTTACATTTATATTTTAATAAAAAAATAAAGTTTTATGGCCTCAATTCTCCCTGTGGTAACGAATATCGATATTTTTTTAAAATAGAAATTCCTGTATCGTGACATCACTAATTTACCACCTCCAAGTCAGTATATATTAGCTGCACCTCTGGCAGCTATTTCAGCCACAAATTCTTGATCAATAAAGGATATGGGGTCAGTTTCATCTGTTGCACTAAGCCGTGTGATGCAGATGATGTCCACACTGCTGTATATTTTGAAGGTGTTACTGCACGGAGTAATTGTTTAAGTGTGTCCCATTAAAAGAGGGTAAATACTTACACATACAAGTATTTTATGTTTTATATTTCTAATTAATTGTTATGACTTTGTGGAGAGTCATTTCATATCAAATCTACTTTGATTCACTGTTGTAAAAACAAAACTCAACTTTGCAGGGGGGTTAATACTTCTTATAGACACTGTAACACCACACAGGGGTCAGATGGCGAATGATCTCTGGTGTTCATTTCCTGCTTGGAGCACCCTAACATGAACACCAGAGGTCAGGAGTACCTGTCAGGTGAGGTTCAGGTACACAGGACAACATGACAAGATGATCCTGCTCAGGCCCCAGGCGGCCTCCGGAGCAGAACAGACGGCGGTTGGATGCATAGGTTTGACTTGAGGAATGCTACCCCGCCTGGCACGCCACAGTTTTTTCGGGCTCTTCTGAAGTGCAAACGGTTGAAGGGAGATGATGGAGGAGCGGGCTGTGAGATGATGTCAGAAAGTAAAAAGGATGTCTGGAAGTGATGATCTCAAAGACCTCTAGGAGATGATTTCCAGGATGTAGAAGACGAGCTCCATGACTACCGGGCCCTCGCTCAGCTGACACGCCCCGCCGTGGATGACGGGGATCAGAGCGCTGTCCAGGTCGCTCAGGTACTGAGGCAGGAGAGGCTGGCCGTTACTTCCTGCCAGGTAGCCCACCTGTAACGATGAAGACAGGTCAGACTGGATCCTCACCACAAACATCTAGATTCAGTTGACTGTCAATCAGAACAGCTGCAAAACCCACAGTGTAAAATTTATATTAATATACAGCTGAAACAAAAGCATATTATTGTCCGTCTCTTATCACTCCATTTTTGTGTTACACCTTCACTTTGTTTTAAGAAGTGCTACATAAAGTTTTTGTGCTTGCAGTAATGTCTCTGTAACATCTGAATCATTCCACCTGGTCAGAGTCCAGCGTGACCCTCAGTCCCAGTTTGGCCATGCCGTCCTCCTTCAGCAGCTTCAGGTGCGGACAAAGCGCCATGCAGAAAGCTCTCGCCACGTTCTCTGTCAGCCGGCTGTGGTCAGCCGGGTCGCTCAGACCATTGGGTTGATCTTCACTCTGGAGGAAAAACACCTGACAGACAGAAACACATGATAATATTTTCATTATTACCACCCCACAGTTGTATGCCTCCGCTCACCGGTCAAGTTTCTCTAAAAGTTTACATCCATGGCTGTGAAAACATGGATGCTTCACACACATCTTTCCACCAGCAGCACAGAAGACCTACACAAGCAGCACAGTGTCAAGGTGGACACCCAAGATTAGTGTCACCAATTCAGTATCTGACCAATTGTCTCCCCTTCTCTTCCTGAGTTAGGACGTTGAGTAAAGGCTAGACTGTTTTATGCAGAACATTATGATGTCACGGTGCAGCTAACCTTTGATCTTTTGGATATAATATATATATGTCATCACTTCATTATTTTATCCTGTTAGACATTTGTGTGAAGTTTTGTCATAATTAGCCTATGGATTCTTTTAACGTTTGTGCCAAATTTTACGAAATTATCTCAAGGTGAGATATCACATTCACAAGAATGAGACAGGTGAGGTCACACAGACCTTGACCTTTGACCAATGACCACCAAAATGTTATCAGTTCATCGTTGAATCCAAGTAAATGTTTGTGCCAAATTAGAAGAAATTCCCTCAAGGCGTTCTTGAGATACCACATATACAGGAATGGGACGGACGGTCAGACAACCCGAAAACCCGAAAACCATGGCATATAAATGCACAGCCCCCACAAGAACTTAACATTTGACTCAGATCCCAGGTGCATAAGAATGGTGCACAACATTCTGTAAGAGATGACTAGACTCAGATTTGTTTAATATTTGACAATGAGAAGGTAGTGAAGGAAAAAAACATCATTAAATCAACAGAGCTGAGCTGAAAAATAACGTTCTTTGAATAAACAAACCTTAATCCTATTTCTTCCACAAATAACAGGAAAAGAAACAGGTCTTAAAGCTGCACTAGAGGTGTGATGTGATGCAAGTAAATAACACAATCCCTGAACCTGAACTGTTGGTGAATCAAACCTAATCACAGTGCTGACTCAGTACTGTGCAAGACAGTGCTGGTCTCAGTT